ATTTTCAAATAATTACTTGTATGAAATCTATATGCATTATTTAAATCGGTGAAATAAAAAATCCTATTTAATTTCAGTAATTTCCCTCGATTACTTCTGAATTTATGGCCCTTTTTTTTAATTTGTTGAACTTGTGAACTTTCAAGTGGCAAAAGTTAGGATCCAATCTGTATGAAATTTATATGCATTATTTGAATTAGTAAAATGAAAAAGCCGGTCAAATTTCAACAATTGCTGTAAATTACTTCCAGAGTTAAGACCCTTGTTTTAGTTTGTTGAACCTTGTGAATCCTCAAACGACGAAAATTATGATCTGATCTGTATGAAATTGTCTTGTATATAAATGCCCCCAATTATCTACAAAAGAATAAATGTGTGACAACCCTTGTCGACCGCTCGGATGATTTGACTGCTGTGGGCGTATGTTTCATTGCCTGGCAACCTACCTTTAGCAATTTTATTATTTTGTGCACATCTTTTTTTTCAAATGTTATCTTCTTGCACTTTATTCTGTTTTCTTTTAAAAATATGCTTAAGGAATCAAACCAGGAAAGATGGACTTTTACTCTGTCTGTAACTATTCAAGATACGTTGGTTCATCTGAATTCATTTGTGAACAAACTGGCGCATGGTATATAAAAGGTTGGCCACCCCTAACGTAAATGTACCCAATTTTCTTATGTATCCCAAGCCCTTTAACTGACTTTATAAGATTAATTAATGAATATGCTCCAACACGAATAAAACCCAAAATGAAAGTAAATAAAAGATGAATAATAAATTGTTACAACATTTATTGTTCTATCATTTTTGGTTATATGTTATCAAACATATTTTATTGACAGTTTTTGCAATATTTTTCTGCGACACTCCTTTTCTTGGCAGTGGTTATTATGGCATTCCATAAATGAAGTACCTGTACTGGCACATGTAATGTTTGGAATCCAGTTGGGAATTCTGTATTTTTAGCGGTTGTTGTATTCCATAATTTAAGTTTGCATTTCCTTTTACATGTAGGACTCTTAACACTGATTTAATGTAACTCATTTTAATTGTCCCCCCGCCTTTCGTCACACTTTTTGGGACACAATAACTCTTAGGGTAAGCAGAGATAAGCAATTTGATTGGTTGATGCATTGGGACACGATAACTTTAGTTTTAATTAAGTGAGAGTGATGAAACTTAGTGTATAAGTTCGATAATGAGCATTTTCTGCTCAGGGTAAGCAGAGCGATAAGCAATTTGATTGGCCGAGACTTTGGAACACAATAACTCAACTTCGAATTCAGGTAGATTGTTCAAACTTGGTGTAGGCGTTCATTGGGTGAATGCCTTGATCTAGTTTGATGATGAACATTGTCTGCTTATGGGAAGGAGAGATAACCAATTTGATTAGTTGATGCTTTGGGACACGATAACTTTAGTTCTAATTAAGTGAGAGTGAGGACATTTGGTGTATAGTTTTATCACATCAATACCTTGACTAAGTTTGATAATGAGCACTTTCTGCTCAGGGTAAGCAGAGCAATAAGCAATTTGATTGGTCGAGACTTTGGAACACAATAACTCTCCTTCTAGTAGAATGTCCAAACTTGGTGTAGGCGTTCATTAGGTGAATCCCTTCATCTAGTTTGATGATAAACATTGTCTGCTAACGGTAAGCGGAGATAAGCAATCTGATTGGTTGATGCTTTGGGGCATGATAACTTTGGTTATAATTAAGTGAGAGTGATAAAACTCATTACATCATTACCTTGACTTAGTTCTATGATTAGAATTTTCTGCTTAGGCTAAGGAGCAATAAGCAATTTGTTTGGTGAAGACTTTGGAACATAACAACTCTGCTTTTAATTGGGGTAGAATGTTTAAACTTGATGTAGATGTTCATTAGGTGAATGTCTTGACTGAGTTCAATGATTAACATTTCGAGCTAAAGCTAAGCAGAGCTAAGCAATTTCATTGGTCGATGCTTTAGGACAAGATTACTTTGATTCTATCTGATAGATAGTGATGAAACTTAGTGTATAGTTGATAATCAGTTTGATTGGTTGATACTTTTAAAAAAATTAAATTTGTGATAAATTAATGTGTCATCTATTTATTTTTGAATTTTGGCGGGGCGACATCAGCCTCAGTGTTGGCTTGTTTTAGGTCATTTTGCCTAAAAACTAAATAATGACAGCTGATCCAAAACTTTACAAATGCAGACTAATGATTATGCAGCTAAACTGCCCAACAAAACATTGAACAAACAGTACAGGAATACATGGTCCATCAAACCATCCAAATTGTTCAAGTGACTGGCTAACGACTAAGTAAATTTAATCTCAATGTTGAATGGAGTACAAAACAGTTTCGTCAAAACTGTACAGACTGTTTTTTTTACTTTGATAAATGTGGTATCAGGTGTTCTAAAGTGTACAAGCATGGTCAGTGCAAGACATCTGTCACAACTTGTAGCTGTTACATTGTATGTTTAAAAAAATTCAATATTTGGATGTTAGTCTGGATCATCTAGTTACTTACATGTTGGTAGGGTGACCCGTGCAGTGAAAATTTTCCCTACAGAAAATTGGACTCGACACAACGAATGTGCACGCTTCAGTGGCTTGTCTCGAAGTGATTTCTCGCTAACTAGGCAGTATGATAATACTCAGCGCTAGAGTTTATGAGACTATGAATAGCCATCACACGTGCAATTCTCTACACATCTATCAACTATTACAGCCGTAAAAAACTATAGTTGACGATTCTGAATAGCAGTAATATTTAGCTTTTTTGGTTATTACAGCAGCTTTAGAAATTACGTTCGTTTTATTTTTTAAATTGCTTGATCAATAACTGTACCGTTAGGAGCGGCATCTTTTGGTTTAGTACAAATAATATCTCTGAAACACTTGCGATAGGCAAGAACATGATACTAGCAGTAGTTTCATTTTACTTTTACAAGGTTCTTAAAAACAATTGTTGAGTTGTCTAACGTGTGTGTTTCTAAATTCAATTTCTTGTTCCAGCTTTCTGTTATGTTTCGTAAAAAAGTAGTCTTGATTATTCCGGCCTGTGAGTCAGACTAGAATGGTCGGTAGACTGGCTAAGCGAGACTTATTTCAAAACAAGGGCGCATAACCTATTTTTTACTCACAAGTGCCCGGATGTTATGACTGACACTTGTAACCATCTTTCAGTGTATTATTTAGGGATCGTTAAATGGTCATAGCTTATTAAGTACAACATGACTGTTTATTTAGTGACTATAAATGTGCAAAACTTATTTAAGGCTTTGTGTATATATAATTATTGTGGTGTAATTGTCGAGATATTTATTTATGGTGGGTCACCCGAATGTTGGTCCAATATTTCTGTTCTAAAAGATATATATGGGGATTTTATATTTAAAGGAGCAAAACCTGGTGCGTTTAAGTAAGAATAAAGTAGCCAAAATCTATATGATTAAATTTTCATTTGCTCGATATAGGAACTCCTTGCAAACGGCAACATTGTAAAAGTTGAAATTCTAATAAGAATATCAGTGGAAAAATGGATTAATTCTGTTCAGTATTTACAAAGATATGATAAGCAAAATTTCATTTATCTATTAGTTCCCTAATGTAAATGCTACGCATCACTTTTTCTATTTTCTCACTTCTTTTTCTGGAAAGATTCTGTCAATAAACCGGGTCTACATTTGTATGAAGTTAAACTTTACACAATTTTGCAATCTACGCTAGTAAACAAGTGTTTTTATTGTCGAATGACGTTGTGATACTTTTTCACAAATCTTATTTTATGGGCCTGTTTTTAATCCAATTGAATACAAGCCGGAAGATTTGATATTTTGTAACAAAATGCAAATCGTGCATGGATACTATACATGTAAATGGGAAGTGGTTTCTTTCCATATTTTACTTCCATTTTTATTTCAACATTGGCTTTGTTAGTCAACTTAATAATATAATCAAATCAAAACATGAAATCAGTACTTTTATTTTTTTTTACAATAGTAAAAGAGATTTAGTCATTTTAAATTTTATTGGACTTCAGCATAAAATATTTATCTTTGCTAACAGATAGGGTTTGTATCGGTAGAATTAACAAAATGTTTTTGCCTTGTAATGTACTATTCATTTAAACTAATAACAAATTTATCCAGATCTATAACTTTAATCCTGATCTTTATAGGTAGCTGGGTATTTGAAGGATACCAGAATCACATGTTTATGTAAGTTGGGGATTTGTAATTATTCCATGACATTTACATGAGTATCAATGAGATTTTTAATCCAAAATCCTTTACTAAAAGACACAACAAGTCAATTTGTTGACATTTCAAAAGTCAAAGACTTGATATTATGTAATTATTAATACATGCAAACATTAAAATAAAACCATCATGAAAAATGGGCTGGTATGTAGCCTACTAAAAAACAGAAAAAAGTAATCATTATCACTCTGTTTGTCTTAGACCCTTGAAGATGGTAGTGTGAAATCAATAGAAACCAATGTAAACTACATGTATAAATGACCATGATTTCAGTTAAGAGTTTGTTCAGTTTGAAAAATATTTGAACAAAAATAATGAAATTAATTTTGATTGTGTGGTGTTTTAGTTAAACTCTGTATTGTACTGGTGTGCTGGGGCTTAATGTATTAAAACTTGATATTGATGTGAATACAGCAATTCTTTCTGTTACAGATTTTGAAGAATATCACTGCACTTGAATATTTCTTTCAGTAGATGTAGCTTTATACAAGAGTTTTTCTTTTGTAATAATTAATTACAACTGTATAAACCATTTAAGATGTTATTGACAAAATGTCAGGCATTATTGATGATGAACAGGTCATATTTTGCATGAGAAAAGTGATGAAATTAAATGACCCAATTGTCCTTAAATGACCCAATTGTATGTTATTACCACTTTAATTTGGCAAGCAGCCTATAAGTTGAAATTAAGCAAATTGTGCTTGTAATTTTAATTATTTGTGTTTTTATTTTCCAGTGTGTAATTTTGTTGTTCATGATCGATGTTTACGTACGGTTGTGTCACCTTGTTCCTGTGTAGCAGCACTTCTTATAAAGGTAAATAAATTCTCATCAATTTTAGTTCTATTTTTGCAAATAAACTACTAGTACTGGGCTGGTGACTCTACTGGTGACCTTACTTTAATCCTTGGGTTATCTTAGGGATCTAAAATTAAGGACCAACCTTTGCTTCACTTATACCTGTAGGTGTAGTGATGGGCGCTGTTTATTTTTTCCAGGAAACCTGATACCACTTTATGAGCAGTTTACTTAGCCAACAAATTGCTTTTGTACTTTTCACTATTATGCCTTATATCAACATTGTAGTTCATGAACAAAATAATGACTCATCTACATTGCAGACAATGAATAAAATAATAATTCTTAGATTAAGTCACAAATTAGCAGGTTATTCATGGACAGTCACATCAAGTTAGCGGATGTTGTGGCATCATGTTGTCACCTTTCTCCTTCTGTCCATCCACCTGTTCAATCATCTGATTGACTTGAAATAAAACTGTGTTTATTGAGACGAAGCAGCCTATTGAATTAAAGTGATGATTACAAGCGGAGTCATAACCCTTGATAAATTTAAGAAATCTTATGGACATTCTAGAGTTATGGCCCTTTAATCAATTTGAAAATTTTGTTAATTCTTGCAAATTATTACTTCATGAGTTGTTGGTCAGTTTTTATACACCCACATTTTCATTGTCGTTGCCCCTGTCAGTCCGTTCATCCACAATTTTTTTGTGGACACGCTACAGGTCACATTTTTTGTCAGATTTTTGACGAAACTTGAAATATTGGTCTATCTCCCAAAGATCCTGGTTCCTTTCGATATTGGCATGTATCGGACCATAACCTCATGGATTATGGCCCCTGATTGTACGAAAAATCACGTTTTTAGCTTGAGGACACTCTGGAGGTCACAAATTTGATGTGATTTTGATGAAACTTGAAATGCATGTTTATAACCAAAAGATCTTGGTTTCTTTCGATATTCGTGCATATTGAATCGTAACTTCCTGAATTATGGCCCTTGACTGTACGAAAAATCACGTTTTGAGCTTGTGGTACCTATACAGGTCACAATTTTATCAGATTAAAAAAAAAAACGTGTTGATATATCAGTTATAAATTCATTAATGATAGTTGAGTTCGAGTTTCGTGAAAATCGGATAAAACTGATAGACATAATGGCTGCAACTTGTACGCAAATAGTGTAAAAATTTGGTATATCAAGGCCACAGTTTTTATCCAATTTGGATGAAACTTTAAATATATGTGTTTATCATAAAGATCTTGATTCCTTTTGATAATCACACATATCCGAATGCAACTTCCTGGATTATGGCCCCTGATTAGTTGAAAAATTGCATTTTTAGCTTGTGGATTCTCTAGAGGTTTAAAAAACTTTAAGATATATCACCATCCACCATAATGATGGTTGAATTCGAATTTCGGGAAAATTGAAATGAAACTGCCGACAAAATGTCCGCTCTTTGTATGTTCATTGTATATAAGTATGTAATGCAAAGGTTATGGACCCCCTAGAGGTCACAATTTTTAGCAGATTTTGATAAAACTTAAAACATATCTTTATATTCCAAAAATCTCCTCTTTTGATATTTGCGCATTTCAGACTATAACTTTCTGGATTATGGCCCCTGATTCTACAAAAAATCGTTTTTGTTTTAGCTTGTTCTCTATCCATCTCTTGCAAAATGTGGGCGTATCCTGCCTGGCATCCGCTGCTTAGTATTTTGTAAATGCTCCCTTGGGTTGGATGGCCGAATGGTTAGCACACACGCTGTATCACAAGGCCTGTCATTGAGTCAACTGGCTTGGTTTCGAATCCCGGGTTGTACGTGACAGAGACTAGGGTTGCCTGTCCAACCCCGTGGGTTTTCTCTGGGTCCTCCTGTTTCCTCCCACTGCTAAAGACCCTTACGCGCAAGCGAATTATTAAAATAAAATTAAACCATATGTTAGTCCCGAAATGATCTAGTCTGTGTCGAGTGGACGTTAAACCCCATTTGTCTCTCTCTTTCTCTGTAAATGCTCCCATAGTATAATTGTGTGACAACCTTGTGCATTGCTCTGATGACTTTGCTGATGTGGTTGTAATGTTTGTTGCCAGACAGCCTATCTTATATGCTTGTAAATGAATTGCACATAATTAATCACAACAAATTAACTGATTTTTAAACTAAGTCACATTATAATCTTCCTCAAAAGTTGCTGAAAAGCTACAAAGTTGATTTAAAAGCCCATTTGGACTTTAATGACATAAGAAATATCAAAGTTTTATTAATTGCCCAAACTGGTCTCTTTTAGTATTTAATCTGTCGAAGATAAACAAGTAATTTTTGGTGACTTCAATAGTTTCCATTACTTGGATGACCAGGATATGTTTAGTGTGAGAGATTGGTAGATTGGTTTTTTTGGTTTTGCATCAGGTATATTATACCTGACTGATTGAGAGAAACTTGTGTAATTATTTTTGCAAATGTACTTTTACTATACATCCTGTTTAATGTCTTATATTTTAAGAACAACAGAAAATATTGAAATTAATAAATATAAACATTTGTTTTTTTCCTTTAATTTTACTATACATCCAGTTTAATGGCATCATATTTTAAGAACAACAGAAAATATTGAAATTAATAAATATAAACGTTTGTTTTTTTCTTGAATTGTCATTTATTTTGGACAGATTATAATAGACTACTGGTATATGTGATGCTTGAGGTCACTGCATAGGGGTGCTACATTGAGAATACCGGTACAATTAGCTATTTCTACTGTTTTCCACTCAATGCTAGAGCAAAACTGAATTAATAAAATAAAGAATTGATTGTTTTAATATTAATATGAACTCTTTTCTTTTGTACAATTAAATTATCATATAAAATGGTCGGTTCTATCATGCACTATTAGGATTGTTCATTTACATGTTTGATTACAGAATCCTGTGTCCCATTGTTGGTCAGAACCTGGTCATTTTAAACGAAAATTTTGCAATGTTTGTCGGAAAAGACTTGAAGACAGTCTAGCTATTCGATGTGAAAGTAAGTACCATTTATTTTCTGTTAATTATGCTTGTAGCATGTTAGCATCATTTTGACACAATTTGAAAGTTCATGACGATTTGGGTGTGACATGCTAGAAGTTAAAGGCATAAGTTACTTGTCCAGTTACATGTACATGTACTTCAATACATACTTTTATGCCTTAGTTAACACTACACAGGCAATGCAAACCTACTAATTTATACGAAAAAGAATTTGATATGTATTTTATTCCGGTTGCTCAGGTTACCCAATGGTAGGGTGCTCCACCATAAATAAATATCTCCCAATATCTCCAAATATTTCGACAATTATACCACAATAAGTAGATATATAACAAGTCTAAACATACCACCTCACATTTATAGTCCCTAAATAAACGGTTGTGTTGTATTTAACAAGATATAAGCATTTCAAATGATTGAAAAATTAGACTGAAAAAAGTTGTCATGTCACCGCCATTAAATTCAGGCATTTTTTAGTGCAAAATAGATTATCTGCTTTTGATATGAAATCAGTCCCTCTTAACCAGTCTGCTGACTGTTCTCCGGCTGATTTACAGGTCGGGATAATCGAGACTATTTTCTATGAAATGTTACAGAAAGCTAGATCAATAAATCTAATTTAGAAACACACACATTAGGCAACTCAACAATTGTTTTGAGAACCCTGTAAAACAAAAGGAAGATGCTACTAGTATGCTATTCTTGCCTAATAAAGGAGCTTCAGAGATACTAAATTTACTAAACCAACGGTATAGTTAAAAATATAGCAAATTAAAAAACAAAACTAATAATTTTTCAAAACTGCTGTAACAACGAATCAGAAATATTATTATTTCAGAATCGTTAACAATAGATTTTTTACGGCTTTAATATTCGATAGCTGTGTTGAAAATTTCATGTGCGATAGCTATTTATAGCATCATTGACTATACCGCCCAGTATTCTTGCACTGTGTGACTAGCCAGAAATCAGTTCGGGACTAGTCACTGAAGCATGCACATTCGCTGTGGCATGTACAACTTTTAATAATTTAAGAGGTACATATTGTGTGTAAAATTAACCTGTCTTACAGATGTCTTGTTTGATGTGAATGTTTATACTCCCACATTTTCATGTGGACGTATATTGCTGTCGCCCCTGTCCGTCAGTCCACACTTTGTTTGTGGACACTCTGCAGTTCACAATTCTTACTCGATTTACATGAAACTTGAAATGTGTGTTTATAACCCGAAGATCTTGGTTCCGTTCGAAATTCGCGCATATCGGACCGCAACTTCCTGGATTATGGCCCCTGATTGTACGGAAAAATCACGTTTTAGCTTGTGGTCTCTCTCTATAGGTCACAATTTATATCCGATTTTAAAAATCGTTGAAGTATATCACTGTTGCATCCTGATGATGATTGAGTTTGAATTTTGTAAAAATCAGACCGAAACTGCCTGACAAAATGGCTGCTCCTTGAACGCAAATAGTGTAAAAGTATGTAATACCAAGTTTGTGGACCAGCTAGAGGTCACAATTCTTGTCTGATTTTGATGAAACTTATAATATAGGTTTATATCCCAAAGATCTTGGTTCCGTTTGATACTCATACATATTGAATCGTATCCTGGATTATGGCCCCTGATTGTACAAAAAAATCCAGATTTTAGCTTGTGGACCCTCTAGAGGTCACGATTTTTATTGGATTTTAAAAATCGTTTAAATATATCAGTATTACAACCTAATGACGATGATAATCAGACCGAAACTGCAAGACAAAATGGCTGCTCCTTGTACACAAATAGTGTAAAAGTCAAGATTTTGTATAATTTGTATTTTGTTGTATATTTTCAGTTTGTGAATACTATTCTCATATAGAATGTCAAGATTTTGTTGTAAGTGATTGTATGGAATGTGCTACATATGTACCACAAACCGAAAAGGTTAGTACTACCCCTCAACCTCTTGTTTTGATTAGACAAAAGCATAATCTATGTGTAGAAGATGGCCACGTGGCTTACCTTAAGTGCACTGATTTGCGTTAAATTTGATTTCAAAATCTTTGAAAATACTTGTTCAAAAAAGACAGTATTACAAAGGTTAATATTTAGTAAGTAAAAATTCTTAGTTGCCTTATCATGCTGGGTTATTACACAGGGTGACTGCCTATATTTGGTCAATAATTTAATCTTGACACCTATTACAATAGTTCAAATGCAACAAATACAGTTATTGGATTTCTTTTTTCAGACTAATATTGTTCATTTTCATCACTGGCGTGAGGGTAACTTACCGCCTAATTCTAAATGTGTGCAGTGTAAGAAGACATGCTGGTCATCAGAATGTTTGGCTGGTATGAGATGTGAATGGTGTGGTGTTACTGTAAGTATGAGTATTCTTAAAAGCAGTCTATAAAATTTATATAATATTTGTTTAAGAAATTATTGTTTTAAACATTGCTCTATAAGGAATACATGTAGGTGGAAAATTCCAAATGGTAGGTTATGAAAATCGTAAGAAAATAACACAATTTCATAGAAAATAAATCTTAGAATTTTAGGGCCTGTAAAAGTGTGAATGTAGAAGTTTTAATGATTTTGATAGTTCTGATAAGCTTAGAACACTTATTTAGATTGCTGCCTGGCTTGTGTGTTTTCTTGGATGCTTTGATTTCATCCATTGCTAAAGAAGCCTGTGTACAAGAGAATTAATAAGATTATGAATTACTTAATTGTTTTGTAAGGAAAAACTGCCAAGATCTTTTCTCAATGACTTGTTTTTCTGCCATATATTTTGCTTATTTGCTTATATTTTTTGTCCACAGGCGCATGCTGCATGTCATAAAACTCTGCCGTTAGAATGTAAATTTGGCAGTATGAGAGAAATAGTGCTGCCACCTAGCTGTTTAACTATTCCTCGTTCAGATGTACCAATGGATGTTATCTTAGGAATTAACAGAAAAACAGGTAAGGCTTGTTCCAAAGCTCTTTTATTTAGTTAGTAGTACAGTGATGTGGTTTTGAAACTGAATTCATAAGAATGTCTTTAATTTTCCTTATTACCCTTGATCATCTTGAATATTTTTATGTTAACCCTTAACCGGTCATTGTCGACTATAGTCACCACAACGTTATACAGCTAAGTGGTCACAAGTCGACCACAGCAAGAACCTTTTTTATAAGCCGCATTTGAGTATTTAGTTTCGTATTTAATTGATATGGCCACGCATGCGTGTCAGACAGGAACTTGTCTTGTCAAGGGCATTGAGAAAAACATGTCGTTGTTCAACATTTTTTGATGAAAAACGTAATTTAACGGTGTCAGGAACGGTAAAGACGCTCGAAGTGGTTGAAATACTTATGAATTATTCCGAATCGGATTATATCGATGACACTGATTCTCAAGACGATATATCTAATGAAAAGCATTTAGAATGATTTGCAAATTATAGATCAACTTATCCCCAGCAACTTTTTTATTGGTGTCAAGAGTCTATCACTTATAATTATTCGGCAGTAGTCGATTGAATTAGGCATACAAAATATTTCACGTTAGCCTTTATTTAGCCTGACCACTTGACGTCATAACGTCAAAATGACATCGACCGGTTAAGGGTTAGTGATGCAAAAAAGGTCTATTTTCAATGATATCTGTTCATTGCCCTTTAGAAGTTAAAGTGATCATCCGATTCCAAATGACCTGAAAATGATACCTTAGGTTTATGTTAATAAGTGGACAGTCTTTTCAATGAGTTCTGATAACTGCTTACATGATTTGCTTTAGTCTATAAAATAATCGCAATGTGACAAACTATATAGACTATTAGAAAAATTAAACGACTTTGCTGATGTGGTATTGTTACCAACCCATCTGTCACTAAGTACAAATGCTTTTCCTTTTCTTTTTTTCATAATTTCGTCTTGCCCATTTACAGTAGCTTTACCAAGTAAGTATGTTCTTATACCCCCACATGTAAATGTGGTTGTATATTGCCACCACCCCCATCTGTCTGTCAGTCCGCCAGGCGGTCCGGCATCCACAATTGCTTACTAGTCGATTGACTTTAAATTTATACACATTGGTCATGAGATGGAGAACCCTATTAATTTTCAACAATTCCGATAATTACTGTAAAAGTTATGCCCCTTGATCACTTGTGGCTGCTCTAAAGTTTAAAGTTAATATCTGATTGACAGTGTCATGAGACGAGGAAACATTTGATTTTCAACGATTTCTGATGATTACTACCAGAGTTATGACCCTTGATCACTTTGAAAAATCTTGTGGACGCTCTAAGTTAATATCCGATTGACATTAATATTAAACACATTGTTTAAGGTCATGAGACAAAGAATCCTATTGATTTCCAACGATTTATGATTAAATTACTGACAGAGTTATGGCCTTTGATCACTTTGAAAAATCTTGTGGACATTCTAGAGGATAAAGTTAATATCTGATTGACTTTAAATTGATATACATTTTTTAAGGTCATAAGATGAAGGGTTAAGATTTTCAAGGACTTCCAATAATTACTGCCAGAGTTATGGCCCTTGATCACTTTGAGAAATCTTGAGACACAGAGGCCTATTTCTGATAATTACTGCCAGAGTTATGATCCTTTAAAATAAATGTTTTGTAAAATAAACATTGCTTTAGGACAGAACTAGAAGCCAAATGGTTGTTACTTGTAATCAGATTGTTAGTGTGTTGTAAATGTTTTCATTTCTGACAAAAGAAAGAAATATGCGAACACCCTTGTTGACTGCCCGGACGACTATGGGTGTATGTTTTGTTGCCTGGCAACGTATCTTTGTCATCTTCCATTAATTAAGAATAAATCGAATAACAGGTTTAACCATTTCAGCTTGCAGCCTGTTAGGGCCATACCCACCACCATCTCCAAAGGGACAAGTATGGACAAATAGGAAGCACTTTCATTGTTAGTCTTGCTAAAGGGATAACACCATCACCTATATCAATCCCAGCAAAGGCTGTCTCTCGATTAGTCATTGAATGAATATATGAAAATTCTCAATGCCCGAAACATTTTTGCTTAAGTCCCTTATCAAACTTTTCTTGGATTGTGATAGTTTCCTCTTGTATGGGAATTTATCAAACTACTAGAAATAAAAATTGCCATTTTCATCTTTTTCAAACATCATTTGCTTCATTTTGTACAAAAAAAGTTAAATAAACTTATTGTTTCTGTAGCACGTACAGTGTCTGAGGAATGGTCTTCGAGTGGTGACTCAAAAACAGAAGAAGAGGAAAAGGAGAGGAGATCTCCTCGTGAAAAAGATGGTCGTGATAAAGAGAAGGATGCAGATACGGAAGTTCTACGAGTGTTTGACGGAAATATGTCGTTAAAACGACGACAGTATCGCACAATAACTGTATCCAAGAACGCTTCAGCTCAAGCTATTTTGGTAAGTTAATATTAATGGGGCATATTACCAAAATATTTTACTCAACTGGAATTGATTTGGGGGTTCACTGCCTTAATTGACTGACGTAACAGTTGCTATTTGGTCAGTATGTTCACTTTTGTGGATATGTAAACTGTTATGTAAAAACATGAAACCACACGTCATTGAACAAATTTTGTCTGACCAGTTAAGGTCTAAATTTCATAGAAGTGATTCCTTCAAAAACAGAATTTTACTCTGTGGACATTTTATAGAGTCAATGAATATGTCAGAGGTTTGATTTTAAGATAGCTGCCTGCCCACTAATGTATAATTGTTAAATGTGAATGGTCTATAGAGATTCATTAATTGAACATATCTGGTTTCTTCATCAGTGATCAGTATATTTTCGAAAAATAAATTGTTGATCATCATCAGTTATAGTACTTTACCTTTTATTTGTTTGTATTTTTGAAGGAGACGTCTCTGAAAACATTCCACATATCTGATGACCCCAAAAATTATTATATAGCTGAGATATCTGAATCAGGTTTGTCTTTACATTACTTAAATATATTAAAGGTTATTAATGTGCTTCAAGGTTGAATTTCAACTTTTCATTTAAAATACCAAAGAGGAGGGTGGAAATGGGCAAATTTGATTTAATGCCCCAAACCTGTAAATTTTTAGAGACTGGTCTTCTCCATGAGAATACAATATTAAAGACCTCAAAAGCATCAAATCCTCCATACCTCCATTGACCAACACAAATTTCTAAAAGAAATATGGTGTTTAGCCTAAACACTCTCCCTGGGTAATTTTAAGTGGGACAGACCTTATAGGTGGATCTAGTTTAAACAAATTTAATGTTTATTATATGGAGTCATATCGAAAATGCTTCACTTGTCCTTGATAAATCATGTTTGTTTTCTTTATGCTATAGGTGGTGAGAGAGAGTTGGAAGAAAATAGTCCTATACGTTCTCAGTTAAAAACACCTGATGGTAAAAAACCATGTTTATTTCTACGCTATAGAGATAAGAATCCGGATAAAGGCTCTATTAAAGTTTGGCCAGGTACCTTTAGACATAGGTAAGTGATGAAATAAAATATTAGCACCAATATGAATTCTCTCTGAAGGACATAAACTTATGGACAAAATCAACAATTGAATGCAACCATGTTGACTTTTAACTTTTAACCATGAATAATTTTATTTGCAAAAGTGCATCAACTGGTCAAAGTTTATAATGCCACTCGCCCAAAGTTTTGAAAGCAACTATGTTGACTTTTTATTTTTTAACCATGAATAATTGTATTTGCAGAAGTGCATCAACTGGTCAAAGAAATTTTTCTGTAACAAAAGAAACCACAACAAAGGAAATAATCATCCATGCACTACGCAAATTTAATGTAGAAGTATGTTATTATTAGTTTTTAAATTCTTTAAAATTAGAGCTGGTACTGAAATTCTTACTGACAGGAGAATTTATTGTTCAGTTTACATGCCATATAGGTATTGCATAGAATTTAACAAAAAAACACAATAAACAGAGTAAATATAAATTAAGATAATACTAAGACTTTTCTTGTGGCAAAAAAAGTGTTGCTGATCTTGGATAAACAAAAAACGCAAAAATATAAATTTTACAGGCTACTTATTACTTATGCTCCCTGATCAAATTTGCTTATCATCGAAGTTTTTCTTTCAGATAAGCTGCAACTGAGACAAAGCTGCTGTGAGAGCGTATTCCATGCTTTGTATGGCTATCTTATTTTGTTCCAAAGATGATAATATATATTTTATATATTACAGGAGACTAACCCTGATAATTATTCATTAGTAGAAGTGTTATTAGACCGTGGGGTGACCGAGAGACCAATAGCACATGATGAGAAACCATGGCAATTAATACAACAAAGGCGGAAAGTAAGTCACTTGTAAATAGTTGTAGTTATGTTGTGTCTTATGCTGGCTTTAGTCAGTAGATACCCCGAATTGTCTGAATAATCAAGTCGTTATTCCGAACTCAATGTAAATACCCAGTATTTTAAACCTTACACGTTGTGTGCAGTTCTGTGGAATGCTTCTTAGTTTTACTAAACAGTAATGCCAAATATTATTGATTTTTAAGGTGGTCAAGGCCTCTGTGTAATTGGGCAGGCTACTTAAAATGAAGTACTGGCCCCTGTTTCACAAAGCGTTACTCAAATTTTCAATCACTGTTTATGAGAAATATCTTTGTTCCAGAAACACAAAACTTTGCACATATTTTCTTGTTGATGTATTTGATACACCAAAACAACAAACAAAAATGTTATAAAGGGCTATATTTTAGTTAAAATAAGGTGAACAATTTTGAGTAAATTCAAGTCTGAGAATGTTTTGTGAAACAGGGCCTGATTATATAGACTCTAAATCTTGTATTCTAAGTATCTCTTTCTTATGAATGAAAGCAATTGCTCTCCTTATTGTGATATAACTCAACCTTGTCCAAACTGGGAGAGTTTTTTTTAGGAGAGGGATTTTTGACCCTCAATGAAACATATAGAAATAGTGATTACTTTTTTTCGATCAGACAAACATTATCAACAAATGAGAACAATTATTATTATAATTATTCGAAACGAGTTACACATTGATTTGAATGAGGCCACAGAGGTGGCTTAAATTTTGGCAGACTTGGGTCGTTATTATTAATTAATTTCACCTATAAACTGAGAAAGAAGGCTCAGCTGACATGGTGGTGCTTTCCTCAAAACATTAGAATCCAGATCTGTTGAGAGGAATGTACATGTACAATCAATTTTGTGGGTTTAATAAAATATTTTTATGTTTCTTCTAGGATTCATTACGACAGAATATGATGACCCGCTTTTACCTTCAGCAAAAAGAAGACCCCCACGGTCCTAGTATTTCTCTGTTTGTGGGCAATCTGCCAACAGGTCTTTCACAGCGACAGTATGAGAAAATATTGGTTGACATAATAGGGAAAGGTTAGTTTTAGTCCAGTCCACAGAATTTCAAAGAAACGGCTTATAACCTGAAAACAACTGGCTTCCTATTTTGATCAGAGGTGTATGATTGCACTAAATGATTACCAGAAAAATGATTAGTTGTAGTGGAAAAGAAGACGTGTCTTGTTGAAATCTGTGAAAACTTGTGTTTTATGATCTTCAAGTTCTTTGTCCTTTTTTTGGCAAAGCAGCCTGATCCATGTCCACATGTTAGCAGTTGAAAATCGAATAAGAAAATTAAGTAATATTGAAATATTTTTTTTTTAATATAGTGACTTTTAAGAATTCTTTCATTATGAGGGCCAATTTTGCATATATGTCAATGTTTATTTTCAGAAAATAAATGGTCGCATTTTGATGTGATATATTATGAATATGGATCTCTAGTTCTAGTGTATACTTCCGCCGAAAAAGTCACGCGAACATTTAATATATTAAAAGAGGCGTATTTTGATGAAAAACAACTAATAGTTCTACTATTGCCAAATATACAGGTTAGTGTTCAGTCTTCTGGGTAATGAAGTGGTTTAAAGTGTTGCAATATGCGTCTTGTCATGTGATCACATGATTGTATGTGACAAAATGAAGGCATGTTCCCTATAAATTAACGGCAGGGATCATAATATTGTTATTTGGGCAAGTGTCATGGATTTGATTCCAAGCTTGTGTTTGACAAGGGGTTGGGTCGTCTGCTTATCTTCATGTCTTGTCGCCATGTTCCTTCCAATACAAATGACCTAGTTCATTGAACCCCATTTCTCACCCTCTCCCCTGTAAACATCAATTTTTTCTCCCAGAATTGTACATCATCATGAGTTTTTATCTAGGGTCTTCTAGTCACCCTGCAATGTAATATTTGAAAGCAAGATTTGCCATATGTCAGTAGTCCTGAAAAGACCTTGTTCATGTTGAATGAACATTAAAACCTTATTCTCGCAAATTTGATTTATATATATTATATTTGTTTATTTCAGCCACATATGATATCAGAGAATGTGAATCCGTTGTTAGTATTTGTTAATGTAAAGAGTGGAGGTTGTCAAGGTTTAGAACTTATAACTTCTTTCCGTAAACTTCTCAACCCTCATCAGGTTTTTAATCTTGAATTAGGTGGACCACTTCCAGGGTACGTAGTCAAAAATCTTGCTTTTGTGAAATAAGCTTCAAAAACGAAAAAAGTTATTAATTTTGGACCCCATTCATCTGTTTTGACTAAATGGATATTGTGTGCTGTGAGAGTCCAAAAAAATCTTACTCTTACCGAGAAATTATTATACTGTATGTGTGTATCTGATTGTCAACTAGTTCTGGGCTATCAGGTCAGCTTGACTCTCTGATAATGTCAATGATGTTCCACATATGCAAGTTTTAATGAATATTTGTTTAAATAAGGGATTCCGAGGCTTTCTAAAATTTATCTTGGGCCTTTAAATGTGTCTTCCAGAATTCATGATGACTGAACAACAAAATAGGCAGACAAAAACAAACTCTATAGAAACATGATGATTAGGCATCACAATATATATTCCCAGTGAAAGTATCAAATTCAAACAGAATAAAATGCAAAAAATTTAACATATTTTTCAAATGCAAGCTTTAAAGTACAGACAATTTCATTGTGGCTATTATACTTTTCAGATTATATGTGTTTCGTAATATTCCATATTATAAAGCGTTAGTATGTGGTGGCGATGGTACGGTAGGCTGGGTCTTGTCTTGTTTAGATAATGTGGGGCAAGATGGCGAGTGTCAATCACCTCCTATGGCTATTGTACCATTAGGAACAGGTCAGTAGATTCAATGATATTCATTCCCTGTTGCTTCAGAGCAACATTGGTACTGTCGAAAAAAGTGTTTGTTCTATTGTGACTTGATTGGTGGCTTCAATTGAGACAACTAATTTCATGCATATATAATTAGGTTCTTCGTCACCTGATTGGTTTGATATTTGACATGGCCTGATAGGCATGCATTTAATGAGGAGTTGCAAAAAGCTAAGTCATTTTAATTATATCAATTGTGGGAATAGCTAAGCTGTTTTATGTATGTATAGACACTGGAATTTAGTTATATGGTTGATTTTGTAACAGACAATAATTGTCCACCGATGCTGCTGCCCTATCAAAGTTATTGGCTGTCTTGATGGACATGTTCAATATTTGTATTATGTTACTTTTTTTCCCCAGGTAATGACCTAGCACGTGTTTTACGTTGGGGTCCAGGGTATACAGGGGGTGAAGATCCCCTTAATGTTTTACGTGATGTTATAGATGCAGATGAGATCAAATTAGACAGGTGAGGTATTTCTTTTTAATAATCTGACATTGTGAGCAGTGATTTAGTAGATACTTGATTTTATCGTTCTGGAATAGAATTCCTTGGATCCCACAAACATTGACCACTCAATTTCATATCACTCAGTTGCTATTCCGTCATCTTTCATGATTAATAGATCTTGTTGAATTTTGAATCATTTTGATATTTTGTTTTATAGATGGACAGTTATATTTCACCCGAATGAAAAAGAAACAGATGAAATGAAGGTGGCACTAGCAAATGATACAAACTCTGCCAACACAAATGAAGATCAAACTTCCATTTTTGTGATGAATAATTATTTTGGTATTGGAATAGATGCTGATTTGTGTTTAGATTTTCATATGGCACGAGAAGAAAAACCAGATAAATTTAACAGCAGGTAATAGTCAACAGTGGAATGAAATTTACACTGCAACACACTAAGTCAGTATGGCTGGTTCAGCGCTGGATGTGAGGGGCTTTTATTTTCCAGTAGAGGCAGTGGCCTAATTTGGTAACTGTAACTCATATTTGTGAGAACTATTTTGACATCTAATCAGATATATTCTTAAGTTTGCAGTCTATGTAAAATATTTTTACTCCCAGATTTTTCCAAATGTCAAATTAAATATGTATCTAGTCAAAAGGAACTTTCTTTGAAAAATACAAACATCACTGATTTTTTTTTTATTGTAGATTACATAATAAAAGTGTTTATCTTAAAATGGGTTTACGGAAAATGGTGAATCGTAAATCTTGTCAAGCGCTACATCGTCATATAAAGGTAGAAGTAGATGGAAAACTTATAGATTTACCACCTGTAGAAGGAATTATAATTCTAAACATTCTTAGGTACGTAGAATTTTGTTTTTAACTTTTTGACTGGGATTCAAGATTTTATTGGTTCTTCACACATACATGCGATATTATACAATAATTGTTTACTATGGAATTTGATTTTCACAAATTGAAATTGCCTTTGGAATTAAAAAGATATGGCCATGGTTTCAAACTAGGATCAATTATTAGGGAGAAGTGACTTCTCCCGACAGGCAAAATAGGGAGAAGTGAGGGAGACCTAGGAGAGGTCGGATTTCACAAATTGCAACGGTAATGGTACCATTCAATCTTGTTCTGCCATTTCACCATCTACATTTAATTTTAGATAACTTTTATGTATTTATTGTGGCGTAACAAGCTCACATTAATATCAGCAAAACTAAATCTGCATTTACATGTATCAAATGTATAAGATTAAATGTTCCAATTTCTTGCTTTAAACACCACACTGAACTAGAATTAAGAAATAATTATTGTTTTAATTTAAGATAAAAAAGCAATAAGGAACTATACACATATGTAAATGACAACAAAATCATTTCCCTAATAGAGAACAGACCAGTGATTTAGATACGAATTCGTTCTTTTACTTTAGCTATATTTAAATACAAGATAGTGCAAGCTCAAATTACATTTGTTTAAGTCCATGAATATCAGTGAGTAAAATAAACACGTATTGACATCTGTGGTCCACACTAAACATGGACATACCAATATTGGGCCTTGATAGTCCTTCAAGCATAAATTATGGCATTGTATGCAAATTTCTATGAATAGTATTCATTTTATATAAAGTTTCTTTGTATACAGAACAAAAAACACAAGAAAATATTGTATCCACCACCTTGTTTAATGTGGTTGTTGCTGATTGTCTACAATTTTTGTAGTTACATGGATGGTTTTAAATTATTTTTAACAATACAGTTAAAATAGTTTTGACTAATTTCTCATATAAAAATGCAGAAATACGTCTCCCAATCTTATTCACAACCTGTCTTTAGAACAACTTCACCCTTCAATAAATATACAGCGACATAAGAGCGACTTCAACTTCGCCCCAAGTTCTTTGGAGGGCGAAATCAGTGGTTGTTGGGCGACTATTTCGTCCACGTACCCCCAAGTTTGAGCCCTGATCTGGCCCTCTTTGCTACAACAGGAATTTAATTTATGTTATGAAATTCAGATCTTATCAAGGAGTTTTGTACAGTTACAATTTCATCAAAATTGAAAAGAAAATTTCACATAATGCTAAATTCTGCAAGGATGAACTTATAGGTTCTATTAGAAAAGACTAGAATTACACGTTTTTCAGTTTTAATTGAATTTTACAGCTACAAAATAACTAATAAAATTCATATTTGTTTATTCCAAGTGTTCAATTTAGAATTTGTAAGGTCTCTAGCAAGCTTTTGACTTTGAGCACACAGTTTGTTATAGACTGTTTTAAACTACCAAAACAGTTTTCTAGGCTATAGTAGTATAGAAGTCTTATGAGGCGGCCTTACTTTAGATGTGTAGATTTTGATAAACTATCAAACAATAACTTGCCTGTCTTTTCAGTTGGGCTTCAGGAGCCAATCCTTGGGGTCCTGAGAGGGAAGATATCTTTGCTAAACCCACTCACTATGATGGTAATTTAGAAATTGTAGGGGTCACAGGAGTCGTGCATATGGGCCAGATACACAGTGGTTTACGTACAGGAATAAGAATAGCACAAGGGGGACATGTAAGTAAATTTAATAGCTGTAACATTTTATAACATAGCTCTCATTTTATTATGTAATTTAATAATGAAATGTATTGTAGTTTAACGGAAGGAGATGGACACAATATTTACAAATAATGATTGAAAGGTCCTAATACTCAACTTCAAAGCGTATTGCACAAGAAATTGTCATTTACATACGAGTACAAATTTACAACTATATTGTGTTTTCCATTAGTATGAGCACAAGTTTATAACTATGTTGGGTTTTGTATTTTGTACAAGTTCAAGTTTATTACTATATTGTGCTTTGTATCAGTACAAATATATAACTATATTATGTTTCATATTAGTTCGAGTACAAGTTTATAGTTAGGTAACACAAATAACATATGTTGTTTCTCGGACATACATGTATATACATTCAGTGAAAATACGGGTCTTGACTTTATTGTCGATATTGAAAGAACCTCCATTTTTGTATCACCATATTAATTACCTCCCCTGATGAAATAGAGGTTAATTCGTCCACACCGAAACTCGTTGAAAAACAATAGTTGAATGCATATATCCAAGTGTTAGTTAGAAACAGGCTTTACTGTCAGGACTGATTGCATACCTTTGGCTAAATATGATTGAATGTAATTATATGAAAAAAATCTGTCTTGGATAAGTTTTCAATACGTACAGTATAATCTGTATTAAGCAGCCACTCAAGGGAATTCTCATGACCTCTTAATAAAATCTCAGTGTTTGTGAGTGCTGACATCAAGTACATGTTACCCTTGGATGCATTGGTAGCAAACATCAATATGTGCATCGGTAAATTTGGGCGTCGCTGAAGCTTGCTTGGAATAAAATTTCTTTGACTCATATCTCTGATATAACGTCTGTACCAAAATTGATACTACTGTCTACCATTGTGATGTATTCGATAATATTTATCCATTTTTATGAAAAAAAAGCCATGAATTAATTTTTATACGCCCACATTTTCATGTGTACATATATTGTCTTCGCCCCTGTCCGTCCGTCCACAATTTGTTTGTGGACACTCTACAGGTCACAATTTTTATTCGATTTTGACGAAACTTAAAATCTTGGTTCTTTTCGATATTGGGATATTTCTGACCATAACATCATTAGCTTGTGGACACAATTTTTATCTGATTTTGATGAAATACATGTTTATAACCCAAAGATCTTGGATCCTTTCAAAATTCGTGCATATCGTATTGTAACTTCCTGAATTATGGCCCTTGATTGTGCGAAGAATCACGTTTTTAGCTTGTGGTCACTCTAGAGGTCATAATTTTGATTTGATTTTTAAAAAAAATTAGATTATATCACTCTTACACCCTAATGATGGTTGTGTTTGAATTTCGTGAAAATCGGACCAAAACTGCCGGACAAAATGGCCACCCCTCGTACACTAATAGTGTATATATGGTATATCAAGGTTGTGGACCCTCTAAGAGGCCACAATTTTGATCCGATTTTGATGTAAATTAAAATGCATGGTAAAGCCCTTGGTCCCTTTTGATATTTGCGCATATCAGTCGTAACTTCCTGAATTATTGCCTTTGATTGTATGAAAAATTGCGTTTTTATCTTGTGGTCCCTCTAAAGGTCACAACTTTTATCCGATTGAAAAAAAAAACGTTTGAATATTTCACCATTACACCCTAATGACGGGTGAGTTTGCATATCGTGAAAATTGGACCAAAATGGCCGCCCCTCGTTTGCAAATAGTGTAAATATATGGTATGTCAAGGTTGTGGACCCTCTAAAAGTCACAATTTTGATTCGATTTTGATGAAACTTGAAATATATCTTTACAACTCAAAGATCTTGGTTCCTGTCTATAGTCCCACATATTGGATCGTAACTTCCTGAATTATGTGGGCATATCCCTCCTGGCAGCCGCTGGTGTTTTATTAAAAAAGCACATGTCCAAAACAAAAAAAACAAAAAAAATCAATCCGGGATTGGCAGAGGTGCTATGAAGTACGACAAGATGGTATCATTCAACAATGGCCGTTGAATAAGTGCTATTTTGCTAAATTTATTAGTGAAATAGTGACGGCTGGCCGCGTTATAGGAGTGACTGTTGAATAAAGAGATGAAACAATAGAATTTCTGTGGGGGGAATTTATAGAGGCCGCTTACAAGGAGAGGTCGCTGAATACGAATGGCTGCTCGTACAGATTCTACTGTATATGAAAACTGGAATGTAACAAAATCGTTTGTAAAAGGTCATTGGATCTGCACATAATTCAGAATTTAATTATTAGCTACAGGGATGAATTTTACAGCGTTTACATAATAATTGTACAATTTACCACATAATGTGTACCACTTTTGGATCATCATGTCTTTATTGATTTTCTTCCAAATTGGGAAAGGCAGTTTACCTGTTACCCCCATGGACTATTACTGTTCTAAGTATGTACAAGAAATGAAAGCAAAATTGTAGACAAGTGATTGCTTTCTGTGATGTTCTCTTTAAAAAAAGAAAGAAAAAAAGACCACCCTCCCATCAATACAACTTTCAGCAATAGCCAAACTTTATTTTGCATCACATCCTCTAGCCAACAATAATGTAACAAAAACAAACAACAGAAGTCGCCCTCCCCTCCTATATTTTCAGCTGTCAGTTGCCCGAGAAACAAGACATTTATTTTGTGTGGCCTTATATTGTTTTTTTAAATTTTTTATTTGTAGCTGCGTATAACATTATTAACTGATATACCAGTACAAGTAGATGGTGAACCGTGGATACAACCTGCAGGTCAAGTTGTTGTTTTAAGATCTGCATTAAAAGTAAGTAGCATTCTTCCTCATCGCAAATTAATAAGCCTGTATAAGCCAATATATATTTTGAATAAAAGAAAGTCGTGCAGAATGTGCATTAGTATATCCATGAATGATTGTTCTACTTGTTCAAACATGTATTTAGATTAAATAGATGCATAAAAAAGCATAATTTTGAATAAGTGTGCAGATAGTATTTTGCTCTTTATGATATAAATGATCTCTCTTTCCATAGGCTACCATGCTAAAGAAAAGTAAAAACAAAATAAAACGTCGTAATACAGAACCAAGCATTTTTTTCCCGGAGAATGAACCCTTAAAAGCCCTGCAATCTCCAGCAGAAGAAAGTGGTCCTCTTTAACCATGTAAGTATACAGGAAAAGGGGAATGACGAACTGTTTTAGTTTTCCTGAATAACATATAGTTTACTGACTACTTCTGTGCATTAGGGAACTTTCTACTGTAAGAATAGATCTCTGACCTGAACAGCGTCCATTAAAAGTGCTTAAGTAATCAATCGTGGGCATGACTTATCAACTGGTCCTCATTTCTGTACCGTAATCAGGTGGTTTATTTCAACAGATATGTCTGACGATCCATTTATCTAAGGAAAATGTTGACTACTTCGATAAATGCTACATAATCTGTGCTGCAATTATAGCCAAAATGATAGATCGAAAAATTGTAATATTAGTGAACTATTTTGCTCTACGGTTCTAATATGTTTTACATCTTTCACACACACGGAGACTAAATAAACATTTTCAATTTTATTAGATACGAAAGTGGAATAAATACTTTTCAAAATTCTACTTGTATATTTCGTGCTTCCGACTAAAATCGTTAATGTAGGAATTAAAAGGTTGGTCATCCACTTTGTGTCTGTTCTCAGTCAGAACTAATTGAAGACAGCATAAGTTTAGTTTGATAAGGAGTAAATTAATCCCATTTGAAAATTTGCAGTTAGGGCAGCCTTTACTTTTAAAAAAATTAATCATGATACACATTGACTTTTTCACGGGCAAATACGTCTCAGAGTCTTAAAGTGCTACAAATGTAACTTGTCTGAATTCTGTGTCACTCGATTGTAATTCTATCAATTTGGTTTCACATCGAAGCATACCTCAGAAGTGCACACAGCCATCATGGGTCCAAGATTGTAGTGCGGCAGTTCGCATGTTAGCATTAATTTCAATATGGAGTTTGTATAGTCATACAGTTGACCAATTTCTCATGCATAAATTTCTACATTTAGTAATTGTTTGATGTTATTTTTCAGAGATAAGGAGGTATAATTGAGTGCCCTGAATGTAGCTATGCGTTTCTTAACTTAAAGACATCACGGTATAAAGCTGGACCTGGATATATGAACTGGTTTTATTAACCCTTGATGGAATAGGTCTTATATGAAAATGGAAAGGGTTAATTTTGGGGGGAAGGGGGTTTAAGGAACTAGTTGAGCAGAGATGTCAACAGAATTTGATCTTTAGGTGATTTCTTTGGAATCATTGAAGGTCATGCTCAGCCAATGAATGTTTAACGGACTACTTTTTTTGGAGGCGGAGTGATATGCTACGTTTCGGTGTCTAACTGTGATAAGGTTGTCCGTGCGTCCCCTTTTTCATTCTCTGTCTTTTTTTTTTTAATAGCTCTGTTCACTTATTTGTTACATTTTCTTGGGTTTATTGTTGTTATTTTTATTTTTTTTGTCTTTTTTGACAGAATTATTATAACCAACATGTATTAAAATATAGAAAAGTTTTAGAAAAATGAAAACCCCAGATATTTTTAAATCGTAAACAAGGCATTTATTTTACAAACTCTTGGAATATTGATCTTTTTTTTTTTTTTAAATTTAACATTTTTTGCTTTGCACCATATGCAAGATACAACAAACAATGTATTAGAACCTTATTTTAATTTTGAAATTTTTAACTATGCAGAAAAATAATATAGTAATTTGAGACAATCTCTGTATTGTCTTGGGGGGAAAATAGGCAAGCTTTCGTCAGTAATCAGACACAAAACCAACTGACTAATATTTTAGGTTTTTTGGTTTTTTTGGGGTTTTTTTACACGCAAGAGCGAATATACTAGATTAATTACTGCTGACTGCCAACAAAATACCATGATTTTTTGCAAATTTACTAACGGCTATATGTTTATCAAAGTTTATTAGATTAGAAAAATAACCTCATTTCTTTAAATACTCGCCAACAATAATTACTGGGTACAGTAGTTTTTCTTTAAAGTTTTTAGTTAATTCTTTCTTCAAAAATCAAAAGTAAGAGGAACAGGGCTTGTTGCTTTTAAATAATTTACAATTTTAAAGACAAAAATTGGCCATTGTAATTAAACCCAATATCTTTTTTTTTGCTCATAATTTATCTGTGTTCGAATAGAAAGGCCTGTAGACAATAAAATTTTTTTGGAATAAATTTTGTGTAAAATGCTCATTTTTTCAAATTAGCACTACAGTATTGTTTTATTACTTAGAGTTGGCATATTTATCAAAATCTGACCGAGTTATATCCCCTTTTAGTTGATCAGAAGGTTGTTGGGCTGCTGTCACACAGAAGCTTCTTAAGTCATTTAAATATATTTAACTTTTAGTATTGCCATAGGTGATAGTTGCTCTGTTTAAGGAAGTAACATGTTAAAATTAGATTAATGAAAGTAATTACTCATTTTATACTAGTCAAAACTTTAAACTGTGATCTGATGTATTTTACTGTAGTTAGTGATGCACTTATTAAATGATACACTGAACTGAATTCAATGATAAGCCAATGATATTAATAGATACACTGAAATGATAAATCATACACAACATGATTTAATTATACACTAAATATATATCATTACACACACATGCTTGAGTCCAAACCAATCTTTTGCTATATTTTAACCTCAATAGCCAAATCTATATAAAAAAAAGATTTTTATGATTAAGTTAAAGTCACTTTTTAAGTTTTTCTGTTACAAAATGAGTTGTGCACCATTTATTGTGATAGTATAAAAAAACAAATATCAATGCAAAATTCTAATCAATCAAATTTTACAATTTTAAGAAATCGTAAAACAGATTTAATTTATAATTTATTTCACAATTTTTATTTGTGGTTGGGTCGATAAATCAGGAAAATGCCACTGTGCAATGAACCAGAAGGGTATACAAATTTTAAGTATTATTATTTCTTTCTGTGTATTTTCAAACTCTTGTATCTTTACAGTTGAAAATGAAATGTTCTGCTCCGACTGGGCTAATGAAGACAGGCACACACCATACTGTGTGCTTTGAGGGAAATTTTGCCCGGACAGCAGCGCTTTACAATTGACCAAAATTGTATGTCGGTTTTAGCCAAAATAAGTCATTTTTGCGAAAATCCCAGCTGAGTCAGAAACTTATAAAGTAAGAATTGTTATTGGGATTGTTGAAGTTAATTAGGAAAAGTGTTCAGTCATTTTTAAAAAAACACACCGTTAAAAGTCAAGTTATACGTGTATTTAAAAATTTTGTTGTTATTTCTATTGATTGACAGGGAGTTATTTTTGTTTTTTTTTCTTCTTTCTTTTGTTCTTTTTGTGTGAACTGTTTAAATGGGGGCTGTGCAATGATTAGTTAATATGAACTTAAGTGAAGTTTTAAATGGAACTTAAGTGAAATTAAATGGCTGAATGGAGGTGAAAATTAGTGTTTTTTTTAAATGTATATCTAATAGATATTTCTCCTGTTGATATTTTTAGCAAATATTTTAACTAAAAATTATAAATAATATTATTGTCCATCTTGTGCTCAATTTTAACACAAAATCAAAAAGACTGAAATCTCACTGTTAGTGACATATTTGCTAATACTTTATCTGTTGTGTTTGTACTAAAAGCTGATTTAAGATGGAAAAATTTGATGGATTTCTAATTCCATGATACTTGTACATTTAGCCGAAAAATTCAAGCTTTCATCAAAAAAAAAAATGCTTTGCTATTTCTTATGCGCTACATATTGTGCTACATATTGATAAATATGTCGTTTAAAGTTAGAGTGTAGTCTATTGATATTGTGTTTTGATTTAATATGAGATGGACAATAGGAGATAAACTAACTGTGGATAAATGGGAACAAAGATTTCTTAGTTATCTCCTCCTAATTGTGAGGAGGCAATTGAAGTTATTTCCCTTGATTGAATAATTATATTATTATATATATTATATATATAGTTATACATTAAATGACTATTTCTTTTTAATTAATTCATGAATTAATTATAAATAAATGAAGAATCCATTTGGGTTGCTCAGTTAATTTTTTATTTTTATTTTTTTTTTTTGTTTGTTTATTTTATTTGGCTGTTTTCAAATGTATAAGTGTAAATATGAGTTTATGTAAGAATGCAATTTCTCGTAAAAAATATAAATATATATATATAAATATTTAAAATATTAAGAATATGTCATTATGTTCTGATACCATTTGCAGATATTGACAAAAAATATACCAACCATCTCACAATACTTTTACAGTGATGATTTTGTTTATATTATTATTATTAATTATTATTATTATTATGATTAATTATATAAATTATTATTATTATTATTATTATGTGATGTTAGTAACATTTAATATATCTGTGCGGATCTGTTGAGAGGAACAGATGTAAGGAATTATCAATGAAACTTCTAATGAAACCCATCACCAATATCACACGGCCACTTTATATTGTTATACATGTAATATAGAATTAATTAGGGGTAACATTTATTGCATATAATTATCATTATTAATTCAATAAGTTTTAGTTTTTAATTAGTTAATTTCTTGCATAATTAGATTTCATTAAAGGCTCTTTGTTTTTAATACAAAGAGATTGTTGGAACAGCAAAACAAGTTAGGATATTCCCCCCGGGTAATAAAGTAATAGTTTTCTTGTTTTCTAAGATTGTCCCACAATGATTCTGACTGAATTTCTAAATTGAATGTTAAACGAATGGATTAGTTAACAATTAAGACTGGTTTCATCATGAATCTTACATATTTCTTACAATCTGAATCACTGGTCATAGTGACAATATTGAACAAGGATATTCATAAATTAATTTATTTACTGTTGAGTCAGGTTGTAATGAGAGGGTAGCTATAGCCATAATTGAAAATCGCACATGAAGTAACTTGAGGTATCATAATTTATGGCTATGAAGATACAGTTTCTATTTTAGAGGACTTTGTAAGCAGATAACCATGTTTCTGCTTGGTTGTGTAAGTTTAAATTGTCCTGCTTAAAATGAAAGAACTAGCTTCATGGTTGAAACAGTCTATGGTGTGTTCTTAGAGGAATCTCATGATATTGGTTGTCAATAGTTTATTGACTATAAATGGCACTATGCCATTCTTTTCAAAAGGTAACAAAATTATTGAATTAAGCATGAAAGTTAAGATAGTGATATGCATTTACTCAATTAAAACTTAATGCAGCTGAATATTTTGTTATATTATCTGATTCACTGAAATATTGAATTAAGTTCAAATAAATATATGTGCTAGGCTGGGAAGGTATGTCTTTTATGTATTCAAATGGGTTTCTTAATATATTCAGTGAATTATTCATTATTCATAACTATAAATTACTTAGAATAAATTGAGTATATATGTTTCATACAAAACACAAAACCATTTTATTCATTTATGATGTATCACTGGTAGAGATAATTTCTGCTCATATGTTTATTTATACATAACATAAATATTATATATACAATTATTTGTTTTTATTAACTTATTCCTCTATATGTACGAGAGGGCTGTATTTATTGTTTCATGAGTTATCCCCCCTCCCCCCTTTTTAATCATCTAAAAGTTATTCTTTCAGTACAATCAACCATCTTAGATACTTTAATATTATCATGATTCTATAATATATATCATAATACTTAGAACTACAGGAAGCATTCATTGTTTAATTTTTCTCTCTCTCTCTCTCTCTCTCTCTTGAGACTTTCTGGTGGCATATTATGGATTATCTCATCTTATAAATGGGTGATTAATAAATGAGTTATCTCCCCCTTTTTTTCAGTTTGATCTCTCGGAGGTAAAGGCAATGTACATTAATTTATAACTTTTGTGTGTATAATATGACTGAACTCTCATACAATCTTAGTTGAAGCTCGAACTGATTTTTTTTTATATTTTACACAAATGCTTCTTTTGTGTCTCAAGGAAAAAAATTCAGTCTGCTTCAAAAATGGCAATATTGTATACTAATGAATTGCATTGATTATGTATATATATATAGTTAACAATTTCACTTCCTTTTATGGTCAGCCGATGAGAAAATAAAATTATAAAAATAATAATTTCTGGACCAAATAAATCAATCGATTCCTACCATTTCTTTGTTGAAATTGTAGGAGCAAATCATTTTCAATATTATAGATTTATTAAAGAAATACAAAAACTCTTTGGCTAATATTTCTCAGTTTTATAGCCCCTTTATAAGAACCAATAATATTGCTTGTTTCTTAATTTGCAATATTAGGAAGATATATTATTAACCAATGATATTACTAGATTGTTGTAGCCTATTTTATAAGAACCAATGGTATTGGTGGGTTTCAACCAATGATTGTCGGTGATACAAATGTTTCTCACACATCATTACTATCTGTATATGTGAAAATAAATATAGAGTCAGTAATCAATAAAAGATTTGTTTTATTTACCTTAAAAGTTCATATGGCCACTTATTGTAGAATACAGTAGGTGTGTTTGTTTGTTCGCCCATTATGCTTACTTCATGCACCAGGACTTAACTATTACTTCCCCCCTGTCATTGAAAATTCATTGTACATTAACGTCCTACTTTTTGCCCCAACTGGGCTAATGAAAATCGGCACATGCAATACAGTGTGCTAGGTGGGAAATTTTGCCCAGACAGTGGTGCTATGGTCTACTCTTATCTCAACTGTCAAGCGTTTTTTTTTTTATGTGCACACAGGACCTTGGTTTTTGGTCCCATCCTAAGCAACTAGACACTGTCCTTGTCATGCCTTTCTTCCAACACCACTGACAAGGGAATACCACACTGATCGAATCCTGTACCCCATTAGTGAGCCAGCCCCTTTCTCACTTAGCTACCCGGCTCCTAGTAAAACATAAAGAGACTTAATGCAAAAAGCAGTGTATCCATTTTACTCATTCTCAGTAAAATGTATTTAATATGTGACATGCACCACACTCTGTTCTACACGTGGAAGGTCGTTTCAATTGTTTTTACAATCTAAGATATCTCACTGACACTGGAATTATGTCTTTTTTGACTGAAATCATGTACCACGTTTTCCATTTAAGCTCTTTACATATTGAATCTGCATGCATCTGAACAGAGATGATGTGCTCTAAAATACTGGGAATAGAATAACAATTATGTCAGGTTTTAGGATTAAAATGGTTATGGTCATATTCTGGAATTTAGCAATGTTGATCAAATGATTATCATTTACTTGCCAGGCAGGAAAGATAATGACAACTATCATCTGAAACTTTGCTAAAGTGGCTCAGATTCATTAATTATGTTTTTTAATTCCTTTTCCACGTGTTCTACAAATGCAGGAAAACTTGGATCTGTAAGACACAACCGTAACAACAAACCAGTCTCTTCTGTTGGATACTTATGTTCTTCATAGGCTTTAGGTAAATTGGCTTTTAACTTCCCTGACAAAACCTAAAACAAATAATTAGAAATTATTAAAATGTGTTCCATTCACAGTTTAATATGCACTATCCCAGTCATAGGAAATAGAACATACTTCATGGCAGTACATAGTTTCATATTTCATACAATGGCAATACCAAGTATGGGGACTGCAAGGGTTTCTGTCTGGTTTGTGCAGGTTGGCCTAATAAGGCCAATGGAAATTTTGAATTTAGACACAATGCCAAAGTCACTAAAAAATATAACTTATAAGTTATTTGATTTGCTTCAAAGTGTGATTTCCATGCAAGAGAACTTACCTCTGCCATTTTGGATAATGTTATTTCCCCTTCCAAAGTTTCAACAACAGCTTCTCCTTGCACTTGTTCGCCATTTGGATCCTGGAAAACACAGTTAAATTTATATATACCCTATATTTAGGAAAACACCAAATTGCATCAGGTTTAGTTGTATGGAATGTCGTATCTGCAAAAGTTTACTGTATTTGTATATACACGTACCAACATGATATTTTGTAGAATATATTTAAAGCGACTATAAGTCTATGCAAGCCAGAGAATAATTTGTTGTCATTAATAAGCATTTTTGCATATTAATTAAGAAATTCTTAGAAATAGAAAAGTATAATGGTGAAATTTAGTTAGTTGGTGCCCCACTAGACATTTTAATTTCAATGTTAAAACTTTGTCTTCTGTTCTCTACCAAGTGCTAGTTGCACTTGGTCCCCAAGGCTGATACCAAAGATAATTGAGTTATTAAACATTCATTGGATCAATGAAAATTGAAAATTATTAAAAACATTCCTGAACACAATTCCATCTGATCCATTTTCAAGTCATACCTGTGTCGCCTCCTGTGATTGGCTAGTTGTTGATTGAGAATTTATTTTAATAGGAAAATATTTGCTAAGTTTCTCTGTACATTGAGAGCATAACTTGATTCCACTGTCATTATTCACACTCTTAAATTTGATCTTAAATTTTCTGGTATTACCCTGTTGAAAAAAAATATATCAGGTCTAGTGTTATATACCATGTAAAGTTTTTCATATAGCCTACCCAAGGCTCCCCTTTCCAATTTTTTTTTCTTATTTTATTAACCCTAGATATACTCGTAGTTCTATAATTCACAAGTTAATTTTTGAAAAGAAAATAATTCATTTTTATGTGTATGCTAATTTTGAACAGAAAAGTATACAAATTTTGTTTGAATCTAAATTTCTTAATAACCCCTTATTTCAATCATAGCATGTAAATTGTCTGGAGGAAACCGGAAATGAAATGGGGGTTTAACATCCTAATTTTCTCTACCGACTGGGCTAATGAAGACGGGCATACACAATGCAGTGTGCTGTGAGGGACATTTTGCTATACTCTTATATAGAATTCCAACTGTCAAGGGTTCTTTTACATGCATGCAAATGTGTACACACAGGACTTCGGTTTTCCGTCTCACCTGAATGTCCTTGTCAAGCCCTCTGTCCTGCACCACTGACCAGGGGAAACCACGCCGGAAAATCCTGCCGAACTTTCTCAGCCAAACATTTGCTGGGGGGGGGGGGGATGAAGGACATCCTGCCTGGACTTGATGTCTTCATTATACTGACCTTGACTTTGTATAAAAACATCATGCTGTCACCTATAACTAAACCTCTCATCCATGCTCGGGAAGTAACTACGGAATGACTCTCCTGTTTAATATAAAATATAGACAACAGTGACAGTAGGTTATCATCAAAATTATATAAGGGTACATTTTCGGTTCTAATTCTAAGACCTACTTACTTCTGAAAAGTCATATTATTTCCTAATTTCTTTTGTTTTCTTTAAAATTAAATATTGTGTGATAGATATAATCTCATGCTTATAAATCCTCAACAGAACATTTGTTTGTATAAATTATATCTTATATCAAAAATGAATTGTATGAGATCAAATATCATTTGTTCAGTCCTTTTTTTGTGGTGCAACTTTCTGGCATTGCCTACTTACAATCACGGTTGTACCATGACATATTACTAGAAAACTACATTCTGTAAGAGTTAAATTTAATTCAGCTTTCTCACTCTCATAAACCTACAAAATGATTAAAAATATTTGTAATTTCATTTGAATATCATTATCTAGAATCTAAATCTTTATACTTTATATTGTGACAGAATTTGCTGTGTCAGTAAATTATCCATTTGCTGGTCAATGGCAATGCCATAAATAAAATATGATGGAAACTAAATGGAATGGAGATTTAGGTCTTGTCAACAACACTTTGGTTATTTTTGTGCTGTTTACTTCTATGGTCACCTTTGCATTGCAAATATTAATCTTCGCTTAGGCTCATTATTGACCACATCAAGCATGGGAAAAACCTCTTTTCTTTATTTAGTTCTACAATAAAAAAGGGCCTAGCCTAAACGTACAGAATAACAAACTACAGGAACAACAGAGTGGTAGCCTGCTACTATTTACTAATTATATGAATTTTTTATTTACCTCCCATCCTCCTTTCCCATGGTTTTTCTCGGTAACATATCTTGAATATCTCTCCAATTTCCAAACTGAAGACATCTATACCTTACCCTTACTGCAATGTGAAAAAAGGGAGTTTAGAATATTTAGATTGGAGTTGCTTCCCTTGACACGTAGTACATGAAATAATTTCCGCCTTTCTCTCCAAATTATCGAGCAAACATTTTGTCCGTTTACGACAATTGCGCTGCTAAATAAACAAGAATATTATTTAAACCCTCCCCGTAGGTTCAACAGACTAAAATATCGAAGACAACGTTTAATTTGAAGTTAAGGCATATTTACCGCTTCAGATTATAAGTTACGCATAAATTAGTGACGTAGTCAATAGTTGTGGTCTTCATGTAATGGCTGCCCCCTGTGTATTTGGTAAAATCATTTATTTATTTTGAAAAAAAGTAGATTTATAGCATCAGCGAGAGCTTACCTGTTAAATTTTGTTGATAGAATTATACCATACAGTGCCGAGATGACGGAAGTCAACGGCGTAAATGATACCGAGGTAAGAATAAGTGAATTATTCATAATTATATCAATATGTTGTGACTTCTAAAAATAAATAATCAGACTCAGAGACTCAAACTGATGACATTGACATGTCATCAGTTCTTTTAATAACGCATGTTTATTAGTCTAAAGAACTAACATTTGACCAAGATATTTAATAAGAAAAAAAGACAAATCGCAAATGATTTGTAATACCCGATTTAAAGGGACAATAACACTCTTGCTGGCTTAAAATCTCCAGAAAATAAATAATATCTCTATCTAAGTACTAGATCATGTTTAAGTGTCCTACCTGTTGTGTAAATTATCCATTACATCCTATTTTACTTGTCCAGAGGGTTTGAAAATATTTTTAAATCGAAGTTTCATTTAAAAAGGTTTACGTTAGACGTTTCAAACCATTATGTTGAATTTTTCAAAATTTTTAAATAAGGTGTGTTAAGATGAAATTTGTAATTGTATTATCAATTAATTGAAATATTCTAAAATAGTACAATTTGTTGACCAGAATAAAGATTGGGACATATTATTCAGTTACAACAAAAGTGGTATTGAGCCTTTAATTTAAAGTAGCTAAGTCTTTAACCCAATATCATCCACAGTCTTCGACATTATTAAACACAAATTTTTATTATTTGTCAATTTAAATCAACGTTGAAGTTATTTATGATCTTTTTAGCTCTTACCAGGAAAAGATGGGCTGCTGATATCAATTATTTAAGATAAAATAAGCATTATTGGTACACCAAATCGTGTACCAGAATGCGTTTCAGCGCCATTTGTAACAAGGTTTACAAGGAACTCAAAGAACAAGGCTAGACATATTCCACAAGTCATGTGAAACGGTGGTGCCATATTTTTATCTGGAGAGCATGGGCAATAAATACTACCAGTGTAGACTGGAATAACCAGACGCTAGATATTGCCATTCGATTGAAACTTCTTGCATATGTCTCCGAACATAACATTCATTAATTCATATTAAATTATTATATGTGTTGCGACCCATTTGTGTCAATTTCTAAGTCTCAGATATTAGCGATTTAGCACCGTTAAATATAGAAGCACGTTTTGCTTTCATTCAATATTATATAATTATGAAATGTTTGTTTGAATTTAAATTTTTAACTCATACCATAGATCTGGTCTGCACAATTTTACTAATTTTAGTCATTTTTATTATGTAGACTAGCCTACTGTAATTAATAAAGAGATATCAAAATCATAGACAGATTTTAAATGATTAGCCTTATATAATATGTAAAACTGTAAACCGTTATGAAAGAGATTGCCAACTGTGTTTTACTTTTTTATCTGCTAACTCAGCACATAACACCAATCATGAAAGATCTTCATTGGCTTCCAGTCAAAAGCAGGATTAATTTTAAACTTCTTTGTATGGCTTATAAATGCCTAACGGAACAGCAACTATTTATCTAAGTAGCCTGCTAACAAACTACAAACCACAAAGAACTCTCAGATCGCAGAATGAGTATCTTTTAAATGTACCTACTTATAAACTTAAATCATTTGGACACAGAGCTTTCTCCTGCATAGTACCAACCCTATGGAACTCCCTTCCTTTAAGACTTCCAAGAACCTGGAATCTTTCAAGTCAGAATTAAAGACATATCTATTTACTTTATCATACTAACTTCTTCAATTATATCTATGTGAAGAGCTTACAATTGCGCCATGAGCATACACGAATGGAATGTGCGCATTATAAATACACACTATTATTAACTGTGTATATGAATTATTAACGCAACCAAAGTACCGTAATACATATTATAGAAGTAGCAAACAAGTTATTTTTCATTTGATATTTTCAGGAAACAAAATCCCATGTTAAAAGTCTGCCATCAGATTACAGTGATGTTCAGTCAAGATCATATGATCCTGAGTATATCTCAGACATAAGTAACAAAATGCAGGTACCAGATCGTATATCAATGGGAGAACCAAACGATCTTCCCTACATACCAAAACAAAATGGAAGAATGAGTGACATGCATGTACCAGACAGAATTATTTTAGCAGGTAAGGTCAATCTGATTAAAATACAGATCTATATTTCGTTTCGTTTTTTTTATACTTTCGTGGCTTACACTACATGAAGATCTGATTGGTTATAGGGGAAGGTGGCATCAGAGGTCAAACGAGCCACTTTTAACCCTATGATGTCAGACATTTGTTTAACCAATCAGTGTTGATGTTTCTAGTGGGTTACCCACAGTTCCGTGCACCTCACACCAAAAACTCCCTGTAACAGACTGTTTCATTGGCTAATCCCTCACATTATCCAGAACGCGGCCCGGGTTATATACCGGTAAAGATAAGTAAAACAAAATTTTGAACTATAAAAAATGAAACGAAAAAGGAGCTATGTTATAATCAGATTGTAGGTAAGATATAACTGATCTTGCCATAAAAAAAGACCCACACTACATGTATTAATGACAAGCAGTGTATAAAATAAAATTGTTTTTTTATTTCATGGTATTTTATTTGTTGATTTTTATACAGAAAGGAGTGAAAACAACCCTGAAAGAACAGATAAAAATATTTGGTTATTGTCACTCTTTTGACAGTTTTCTTGCTATCTCTTTTAACTTTCAGGGCTGTCGGTAATTTTTCACAGTTGATTAGCAGCACTGCTAATCAAAAAGTCCAATTTTGCCAAATTTGATTAGCAAATTTAAAAATTGATTAGCAGTTTTTCAGTTTCAACATAAAAACCTAAATAACAAGATATTACTTTACTTCATAACAAATATGATTAGATTCCATTCTTACTATTCTTAGATTTTTTTAGCACTGCCACAAGTACTTGTGACAGTTTGTGAATGTGATGTAGACATTTAGTTAGGTCTTATGTCTGAAGCCAATTCTTAACAGTGACTTCCAAGGCCCCCATCATTTTAATTGTTATTTTTTGTTACGTTAGAAATCTCTGTTATAAAGCAATTTCATCTGCTTTTTATCGTGTATTGCTATTTTTGTTCAATCGGGCGCACCTCGATTAACTAGACACACGCGATATTTTACAGGAATTTTTACTTTGATTTATCATTTTACAATACGTTAACATATATTTATTTTTTTATATTTTATTTACAATACGTGGGGGATACACTGGATTTATTTCGTTCAAAATGAATATAATATAATTACTTGATGTCTCACAACGTGAGTGGTACTACTTGATTCCCTATTGGGGATCACGTGGCTAAGTGGGTAAGACGCTAGCTCGCTAGCTTGGAGGTCGGGTGTTCGATCCCTGCATTGGCCGAGAAAGTTCATCCAGATTTTCCGGCGTGGTTCTCCCTTGTCAGTGATGCAGGACGGAAGGGGCTGACAAGGAAAGCTGTCTAGTCGTTCGGATGGGACGAAAAACCGAGGTCCCGTGTACACATTGGCGTGCACGTATTGGTGTACATGTAAAAGATCCCTTGGCAGTTGGAATTCAATATAAGAGTAGGCCGTAGTGCCGCTGTCCGGGCAAAATTTCCCTCATAGCACACTGTATGGCGTATACCCGTCTTCATTAGCCCAGGTTAGGAGCAGAACAGTAGGACGTTAAACCCCATTTCATTTCATTTCATTTGATTCCCTATTTCCGGTTTAATAGTCCCTATTCATAGAGTTGGAACCAAGCTGATTGGGACCATGGCTGATTGGGCCAAAAGTCAAAGCTGATTGGGACCACATTCCAGGCTGATTGGGACCACATTCCAGGCTGATTGGGACCACCACTAGGCTGATTCGGACCACACGATAAAAAATACTAGAAACTGAGGTTTTGATATTGAATTAAGTTTAAAGGAGTTTTATCTAGGCTATAGCGTGACTATAATTGTGTGCTTTTATGTAGGCCTATGTTATTTATGTTTATATTCCATTTTTTTATGTCACAGTTACTATAATAACAGAGATTATCTCATTAATCTTATGTAAATTATCGTACGTTTTATGCAATTTAATCAGACCATTTTTATTTTATTTTATAAACTTCATAGCTTGTTTTGGAATCCATTATAGCCCATATATTGTGTGTAATTATACGTAGAAATACTGTTTAAACCAATTTATGCTAATTTCAATAAGTCATACTAATTTGAAAACTAATACTAGCAATACAGTAGCATAACGGAAATCCGAATCCATTATACATATATTGTGTGTAATTATGTTATAGAAATAATGTTTAAACCATACAAATTTGAAAATTAATACCAGCAATACAGTAGCAACGGTAATCGGTTATTTCAAATATGATGTATATAAAAGCAGTCAAAATGTTAATTCTACCTTGTAAAGAAAAAATCATAATAGATTTATAGACTCAATTTTAACACAAGTAAACAGGTAGGTGATATCTAGGAAAGTGTACTATATGACTACATGAAAATTACTCAGATCTTACTGACAGCCACAACAGGGAATTTGTGTGATTGGATCTGATTGTTTATTGGATTACTAGGCTTATCATTAATTAACAATAAATGGTGTGATTAAGGTCTTGTATATTGCTATTTGTGACTAATTACACTATTTATTGTCATAGTTGTCTTATTATCAAAAATATGCAAACATATTTTAAAGGCTCAATACCACTCTTGTTGTAACTGAATAATATGTCCCAATCTTTATTCTGGTCAACAAATTGTACTATTTTAGAATATTTCAATTAATTGATGATACAAATTTCATCTTAACACACCTTATTTAAAAATTTTGAAAAATTCAACATAACGTAAACCTTTTCAAATGAAACTTCGATTTAAAAATAATTTCGAACCCTCTGGACAAGTAAAATAGGATGTAATGGGTAATTTACACAACAGGTAGGACACTTAAACATCTAGTACTTAGATAGAGATATTATTTATTTTCTGGAGCTTTATTCTGGTCAACAAATTGTACTATTTTAGAATATTTCAATTAATTGATGATACAAATTTCATCTTAACACACCTTATTTAAAAATTTTGAAAAATTCAACATAATGGTTTGAAACGTCTAACGTAAACCTTTTCAAATGAAACTTCGATTTAAAAATAATTTCGAACCCTCTGGACAAGTAAAATAGGATGTAATGGGTAATTTACACAACAGGTAGGACACTTAAACATCTAGTACTTAGATAGAGATATTATTTATTTTCTGGAGCTTTCAAGCCAGCAAGAGTGTTATTGTCCCTTTAAATACTCGCGTCATTTAAGTAATGGTCCGAATGAGCCTTGTCGTGGTCCCAATCAGCCAAAAATCTGGTCCCAGTCAGCCAAGAATCTGGTCCCAATCAGCCACAAATCTGGTCCTAGTCAGCTACAAATCTGGTCCCAGTCAGCCAGGTCCCAATCAGCCATGGTCCCAATCAGCCAATTACCATAGAGTTATGTCCCTGTATTATATAGTACCGTATAATGAATTGTGTCTGGGTAGTTTGAGAAAAAAATGTCACACGGAGAATTCAGTTTTGTTTATAAAATTTTATTCAACATTTTATACATGTTGAAAGTGTTCAGAAAGCCTTCTAGTCTTCAATTTTAATTTTAATTTTTAATTTTTGATTAGCAACGGACAAAATATGTATCGCAAATTGCGCTGCGATACTGGTTGTCGGCAGCCCTGTTAACTTTAGGGGAATATCACTGACTATCTACATGTACATGTATAAAGACATTGTGCATGTTCAACTGCGACTGACCACTTAAAATTCACAAGTGGTTGACATTTTGTAGGGATTGTTTATAAACATCAGCAAAACTTGTGAAATATACTTAATTCTAAGTATGTTAGCCAATGTCAGAAATCAAGCATAGTAACTTTTAAAAGTATTATTCAAAGTTAATTTTTTTGTGTCCTTTAGGTGAAGACAAACATATAGGATTAAAAGAAGGTCTACGAGAATTAGAGTTAAATAAAGTTCCTTCTGCCGATACGTACGCTTATGTTGGTCTTCTGACCCCACCACGAACTTTAACACTTGAGGAGCGCTTTCCAGTGGTAGAAGATAATGTTGAGAAACACAACCAGTTGCAAATACAGAAAAATGATTCTAATAACAGCCATTTTTACAACAGGTAATTTCAATATTAGCCTTTCCTACTAGACTATATCATGACCGAATGAAGGTAAGATTCCCGAACACAGTTTGAGTTGATGAGCTTAGCATTTATAGAAAAGATGTAGGTTAGAGTGGTAGGGTTTAGTATGATTGCACTAGAAAAACATCAAGCTATGTGGAATGTAGGTTTTTATATGAAGGGATTAGACCCCCCCCCCCTTTAATTCTCTAAGCATTAAGCATATGTGTCAAAAAAGAAATCCCCCGATCCGCCAAAAGGCTTGGAAATAGTCAGACTAGACAACAAAATCCATTTTTAAAGAGTTTATGTACAAGCTATCAAATTATATGGAGAATAAATTGGTGGCTGAATGGTGTAGTTCAGCCTCATGGTAGCAATGTAAAAATATGCTCACATGTTCAACAAATTCAGTAAGAGTCGATTAGTGAGATGAAAATATAAGGTTCTGTGCGCCCATGAAAGAACCCTTGACAGATGGAATTCAATGAAGCAAAATCTCACTTATAACACACTGCATGACGTGCCTGTTTTCATAAGCCAGTTTGGTGCATTAGTAGGACAATTGGCTACAAAAGTGTAACAAAATTTTAGAATGATTATATTCCCTTTAATTTTGTCATTTCAGCACGGCACCCTTGCCTTACACTCCAGGTTATTCACCCAACGACTCCATCTTGGTTAATGAGGAAGACGAAGCTACTGTATTACGGACACATGTTGCTAAATTATCCAGAAGAATAGCAGTAATGGAACAAGACAACCAGAGACGATCTCAGCGAGAAGTGTTCCTCTATCCTATGGTTATGGGTTATTTCGTTCTGCGTTTTTTCTTTTGGTTTTTCAAAAGTAAATGATGATATTGCAGCAACTAGGATCCAATTTGTTACGAGTTTTGCAAATTTAATAGAGGTTTTCCCCATTTTTCAGTAACCCACATTTTTGGTAGGGTGCATATTCTACAGTTCACAATGTAACAAAAACAAATTAAACTTTAAACAATGAAATTGATAAGGATGCTATAAACTGATCGCCAGATGTTTATCAAATTTTCTCCATATTTATCAAATTTTCTCCATATTCATTTTCTAATATTTACTAAACTTGCATTTCGTAATTAATAATATAATTCCTTGGGAAGAATTATCTTAAGTAATGTGTTAGGCATATACACAATAGAGACATTTGGCAAGCGTAAATTCCTGGTCTGTATTGCGTATCCTTAAGGATTTTGCGTGTGACTTCATCAATGTGTGTGTATTTGTCATACGTGATACGGCACATGGATACGGCAGCATGTATTGAACAGCTTTTCTCAGGATTTTAAAAATGTATTCTTCCTGTCTGTCTGCATGCTGGTTGATCTACATGCAAAATTTGGGGAGATGGGACCTTGCAAATCTATAAATGATGTGGTTCTGTGGTAAAGGGGTATAAACTTTCTGAAATGATATATTAGTGAAATGCAACATTGCTGTTGAGTCGAAGTGAAAGATTTTTAATAAGATTCGACATTAATTTTTTTTATAATAGCTCAGCGACTTCACTCCCTCCAGGAATTTGTAGGTTAGGCACTTGACTAGTACTGATGGTGATCTTGTTAGATAACTACCATCATGCTGTAATAGAACTAAGTTCTGCTGAGCGACTCATACGTATGCTGCGCGTAAATCTTCCAAAACTCTGCAACTGTTTTGACAGAACATATCCGTATCTGATACGTGATACAGATGGGAAAAATTCTGCTTTTCAAAAGTCTCTAATGCATATGTGACTTACACTGGATGACACAAATCAAGAAGACTATCAATGTTTGGTACATTTGAAAAGAAGCCATGAGTAACTAGATCTATAATTTGTGATAACACAGAGATCAGTCTACTTTAAGAATACATCTCAACCGTCTTATGGTACATTATTTATGTAAGGAAAAAGTGATAGATCGAAAAATTAGTTTACTATTCTTTTATGTGGTTCGAATCTGTTTTACATCTTTTTCATACACAAAGACTAAAAAAACATTTTCAATCTCATTTAATATGTCAAGATTCCTGAGGTATATTTAGTGTTTTCGAATAAATTCGTTGATGTAGAAATGAATGTGTCAGGCAACCAGCTTCAATGGTTTTGTACAAATAGCTGTGTGCAATTGTGATGGTAAAAACCACTTAGCTGGATTCTTAGTTTCATGATTAGACGGTTGAAATTAAATTAAAATTAGTTATCAATGGTAAAAGTAGTAAGATTATAGAAAATCTATGTGTGTTACTGAAATTTGGATGAAAAGAGAACTGTAAATGTTTTGAAAATATATACCCTAATCTAGTCGTTTGTGGTTTGATTTTATATAATCATTGAGAATCATACACTTGTGAAAAAAAATGTTGGATGCCATATCAAATTACCACTTCTCGAAAATTGGGCCATTCTACATTCATTTGGAATACATATGTGAGCAAGGAATATTTAAAACCCTTGACACATGAGACACAAACACAACTGTTATTGTAAAGTACAATAATTCATATCTTTCCATAGGGTATTCAATTTGCCATCTTCAAAATTGGTGCAAAATTTGAAATAACATTTTATATGGAGGACCAAGATTATAAGTAGCTGTTTGTTTTTGAGTCATCTTGGTTGAGGTCTTGGACTACAGCATGCCAATTGGGTATTGGTTCAATTGATGTGTATATTAATTTGTCTTTCAAGAATACCAGAGCTCAATTTAGGTTACCTAGAAGCAAATAGCTACAATGTAATCAGAATTTTCTATGCATAAGTTAGATTTGTTTTGAAAATAATTTTAGTCTTAACTTGAGGTATGTATTATACATGTACATGTAGTCTGATATATACAGTATCTAAATGTTATTTAATACTTGAACTACCTAAGTTTGTCACAAGATGCCGGTTTTGAAAACTTATTAGCAAAACTCACCACTGACGACAACTGAGGACTGCCCGTTCGCAAAATATATATATAATTTTTGAACTGCTTACTCTTGTTTTCCTCATGACAAGCTCTGTTTTTATTCGCCCACATTTTCATGTGGACATATAATGCCGTCGCCCCTGTCCGTCCGTCCTCATTTTGTTTGTGGAATGCATGTTTATATCCCAAAGATCTTGGTTCCTTTCGATATTTGAGCATATTATTATAACACCGTTACACCCTAATGATGGTTGAGTTCGAATTTCGTGAAAATCGGACCAAACCAGCCAGACAAAAGGGCTGCCCCTTGTACGCAAATAGTGTAAAATATGGTATATCAAGGTTGTGGACCCTTTACAGATCACAATTTTTATCTGATTTTGACGAAACTTGAAATATGGGTCTGTCTCCCAAAGGTCTTGGTTCCTTTCGATATTTGCATGTATCGGACCATAACCTCCTAGATTATGGCCCCTGATTGTACGAAAAATCATGTTTTTTAGCTTGTGGGTTCTCTAGAGGTTACAATTTTTATCTGATTTTAAAAACCGTTTAAATACATCACCATTCTACCATAAGGAAGGTTGAGTTTGATGAAACTTAATAATCTTTATATCCCAAAGATCTCGGTCCCTTTCGATATTTGCGCATTTCAGACCATAACTTTCTGGATTATGGCCGTTGATTGTAATAAAAAAAACGCTTTTGTTTTGCGCCTGTTCTCTATCCATTTCTTGTAAAATGTGTATCTTGCCTGGCAACTGCTGGTATATTGTAAAATTATAGTTTAATTGTTTAATATTTATGAAATAATCCAAATAGAAAATATTAAATTAAAAAGAACTTTATCTAGTTAAACTGAAAAGTCAGCATACTCGACCATTGCTAATTATTATAATTAAAGCTATAATGGGTGTGAATATTAAGGTCACTTTTAATGAAATGTTCATTTTTTGATGCCAGTAAACAGTATTTTAATAAATTATTCCTTCATACTTATCTTATATAAATTACAATATCCATGTCAATTTAATTAAATATATTAAGTGTTTGTTTGTATATGAATTGAAATTCCTGACAAATTTCAGTATGTAGAATATATTATAAATGCAACTTATAATCCAAATTCAAAATTTACTCAACCCATCAGTTGAAAAACAAGACAGTAATGTCATTGACTGACCTAGTAAATCCACCAATCCCTATTTCTCATGTAACCATAGAGAAATAACTTCCTTGGTTAAACTTGATGGTAAATGGAATGCAGATAATACCAACTTGATAATACATATTATTTTAACATTATAGGAAATTAATTTGTTAATTTTGCTTTGAGTGATGGAGTTAGTGTGTGTGTGTGTGTGATGGTTGTATTGTGGCAGTAAAGTCATTAAAAACAAATCTTGTATTCATAGTGTATAAAGCTTTAGTATGTATAAATCAGTGCTTATATAAAGCTTGTATATATAATAATAGTGATCAATTAGATGTAAATTTTGTCATTTGTACATTGTAGATATTTTGGTTTCTAAAACCCAGTTCTGTATTTAGTCAGGTCAGATTTACATGTGATAGTTACTGACTTCATTGATTATTTTATTGTCAATTAATCTTTGGTATACTGGTAGTACTATACTTTAGTTACCGGTATGTTTAATTAAACCTAGTTGGTGCGATATTTGTTCAGTGCAGTACTTTTGGCCCCCACAGATTTTATTCAGCACAATTCTATATTAGTCAATCATCTAGAGTGTTGTGTCATCTTCTAAATTGACTGCAAAATCATATTTAAATGCAATGATGCCAGTTTGGGTCCAAATGTGTTTGTACACTGCATAAAATATACAAAATCCTGAATATACTAGGCTGTTTAATTGTGGAAAATATTGCAGCACTAAATTATTTGTTTGATCCAACTCATTTAGTGCTATATTTCTTGGTTCAGTTGCATATTTATTATTGTATACACGCTTAGTAAATAATTTCTCCTAGACATAGAAAACCTCTACTATTTCTCCAATGTATCTTTAATTTTGCTTTTTTTTTCGATTTCTATTACACATACTGCTTACAGTTTATTGTATACTAAAAAAAGCAAAATGTCTTATCTGATTGGAGGTTGGGTGGCCAAATGGTTTAATGTGTTAGATTACAAGGTTTGTCATTGAGTCAAGTGATGTGGTTTAGATACCATGCTTGTACGTGACTTGGAGTAGGATCATCTGTCCAACATAATCAGCAGTGGCAACGTGAGATGCATTGAACATCACAGGCCAATAGCCCGTTCAGAAGCTTATTTTTAAACCAGTTCATAATCGCTGGGGTTTTTAAGACAGCATCGTGTTGCGTTCACACGTACTATAAGCCAAACCAGTTTAACTATTCTGACCTCTTCGGTCGGAGGTTAGAGTTAACTGCGCATTGGTAGATTCATATTCCTTATTCGGTTCTCGCACGCTTTCGATAACATTGGCACTGTCTGACCCAATATTTTCACAGGAATGTAACTAACTGCGTACTGCGCATGCTCGAAGCAAGCTGGAGCTGGGGTTTTTAAGCCAACCCGTTCAGACGGCTAAGATGAACCAGTTTAAAATAAAAAGCCTTCTCGAAGACAGGTCGCGAGCAGGGGTTTTTAACATGGTTTATTTGCCCCACATTTGCGTTCAGACGCTAAAGTTAAACTGGTTTAACAATCCCCAGGGTTTTTAAACCAGTTCAACTTAAGCGTCTGAACGGGCTATAACTTAACTTTGTGTTGGTCCCAAAATAAGAATGGGTCAGGTAGCTCTATTTAAGTAGTGCAGGATTATCTGAGAACCAGAATATTTATTTTATTTGGTGGTATGTTGAATGGACATAACTCTCTCATTTAAAAATACCAAAAATAAATACTGGCTGTATTAAATTCAAGCCTTTCAAGTTACTAGGGCATTGCATACACACAAAAGGCTGGTTTAAAAAATTGTGAAGCCTTTTAAGGTTTCACACTTGATATGTTTATTTCTGTATTGATATTTAATTGTTTATTTGGGCACATTTCTACATTTGAAGATCTTTACTAAACTATGTTCAGGCTTTGTAATGGTATCAGTATTGTCATATCTAGAAATTAGGAAAACATGCTAATTAATATTTGGGCATTATGTCTCTTATATTCATGTTATTGAAAGGAATATGAGGAAACAGTCCATGTTTTTTTGTAAGCCACTTTTATCCAGTATAATATTATCTGATGTATGAAGTGGTTGTATGTATTTTGAAATATTAATAATTTATGTAAATAAACCCAATAAAAACATTTTAAAATCTTGTGTGAATCAAAAATAATAGCCTATATATTAAATTCTATTTGTAAATAATATGTGTCAGCTGATAAAATTCCTAGATTATCCCTGCTATTACTGTTGCTGATCATTAAAATTTTTTTTTTTTTTTACAAATTATGATATCTTATTTATTTGAATAGTAGCAGTCAAGTGATTTCAATTTCATTGTCATCAATGATTTTCACATTTTATACCCCTTATTTGTTCTAAAATGATCTTCAGATTCACCTTATGAAAGTATGACGGGATACTTGAAAACTAAAATTCATTTCTGGGTTGCCTTATTGTGGCTTTAGATCTATTTTTAACCAATGATTTGTTTCAGTCAGGCCTTTTATTTAATCTTTATATTATTATCTTTGGGGTCGCATTCCTAAACTTGAAGAAATCTGCCTAATTTCGATCTAGTCCTAGGACTGTTTATGTCAATTTTTAAACTATACACAACATTCATATTTTTCTTGGAATTCAAATATTAAAACTATAACCAATGGATTTATCTCTCTTGGATCCAAGAAAATTTTAAGCCATTTGATAAGAGAGATTGAGAGAAATGGGGTTTAATGTCCACTAAACATAAACTAGGTCATTTTGGGACTGACCTGGTTCAATTTTTATATGCCCACATTGAAATGTGGTCGTATATTGTCGTCACCCCAGTCCGGCGTCCACAATTGCTTGTGGACACTCGAGAGGCTAAAGTTGATATCCGATTTCCTTTTAATTTATACACAGTGTTTAAGGTCATGAGACGAAGAAGCCTATTGATTTTCAACGATTTCCGATAATTACTGTCAGAGTTATAGCCCTTGATCACTTCAAAAAATCTTGTGACGCTCTAGCGGCTAAAGTTATCATCCGATTGACTTCAGATTGATACACAGAGTTTAAGGTCTTGAGATGAACAAGTATATTGATTTTCAATGAATTTTTATGACTTGAACAACTAAATCCATGATGTTAAAAGTTTCGTATACTAAACATTAGCATGGGGCAGAACTTTATAAAAACCAAACAAATTCTAATGGTTTTCTGATTATTAGTTAATTAGTTATTACTCTTAATCAGATTTTAATGTATTATAAATGTTTAATTACCGAAAAAAGTAAAAATATGCGACAAATCTTGTTGACTCCCCGGACGATTTAGCTGCTGTGGTGGGCGTATGTTTCGTTGCCTGGCAACCTATCTTTTTCAATTATTCACTAGCATGGGAGGAAACCGAAGGACGTGAAGAAAACCCACGACCCTACTCCCTTTCACATACAAACAGGAAATCGATTTTTTTTTTACCAGGTCACTTGGCTCATATTGACAGACCTTTTGATCAAATGCGCACATGTTAACCATTTGGCCACCCAACCCCCACCATTTGATAAGAGTCCCATTATGAATAGGAGAAAATCAACCATGTGATTTTTATTTATATTTATATTTCTATTGGCAATGACTTTCTTCCTTGACTGTAAATCAATTACACTTTTAGTGTAGTGTTGAATGATCATGTAAAGTCTATGATAAATTTGGTGTGTCCATAAGCTCTAATAATCTAAAACATATTTATTTCTTAAGATTAATATGCAAATTTAAAACAAATATTTATTAAAATCTCTTTGTTTTAGTTTATACGGCCATGTACATATTAAATTTTTTATATATAATGTCGTTGCCCCTGTCCGGAGGTCAGTCCTTCCACAATTTGTTAGTGGGCACTCTACAGGTCACAATTTTTATCCAATTTTGACGAAACTTGAAATATAGTTCTATCTCCCAAAGATCTCGGTTCCTTTCGATATTGGCATGCATCGGACCATAACTTCATGGATTATGGACCCTGATTGTACAAAAAATCATATTTTTAGCTTGTGGACACTCTTGAGGTCTCAATTTTGATCCGATTTTGATGAAACTTGAAATGCATGCTTATAACCCAAATATCTTGTTTCCTGTCGATATTCGTGCATATCGCATCGTAACTTCCTGAATTGTGGCCCCTGATTATGCGGAAAATCGTGTTTTTAGAGGTCACAATTTTTATCCGATTTAAAAAAAACGTTTTAGTATATCACCGTTACACCCTAATGATGGTTGAGTTTGAATTTCGTGAAAATCGGACCAAACCAGCCAGACAAAAGGGCTGCCTCTTGTACGCAAATAGTGTAAAATATGGTATATCAAGGTTGTGGACCCTCTAGAGGTCACAATTTTCATCCGATTTTGATGAAACTTGGAATGCATGTTTATATCCCAAAGATCTTGGTTCCTTTCGATATTTGCGCATATCAGATCATAACTTTCTGAATTATGGCTCCTGATTGTACAAAAATTGTGCTTTTAGCTTGTGGTCCCTCTAGAGATCAAAAGATAGGTTGCCAGGCAATGAAACATACGGCCACAGCAGCTAAATCGTCCGAGCGGTCAACAAGGGTTGTCGCCTATTTATTTTTTTGTAGGTAATTGCGGGCATTTACAAGACACTTCCATACAGATCAGATTATAATTTTTGCTGTTTGAAGGTTCAAGCGGTTCTACAAACTGAAACAAGGGTCTCAACTCTGGAAGTAATCTACAGAAATTGTTGAAATTTGACAGGCTTTTTCGTTTTACTAATTTAAATAATACAGATCGGGTGATAACTTTTGGCGTTAGAACGTTCAACAAACAGAAACAAGGGGCATAACTCCAGAAGAAATTAACAGAAGTTATTGAAATTAAATAGACTTCTTCATCTCACTAATGCAAACAACATATATCAATTTCAAAACAATCAAATGATAAATGTAGTCTGTAGAGTGGGGGGTCACGGTAGCTAAGTGGGTAAGACGCTGGCTCGCTAGTCAGGAGGTCGGGTGTTCGATCCCTGCATTGGCCGAGAAAGTTCACCCAGTTTTTCCGGCCTGATTCCCCCTTGTCATTGATGCAGGATGGAGGGCCTGACAAGGACAGCTGTCTAGTCATTCGGATGAGACGAAAAACCGAGGTCCCGTATACACATTGACGCTAGGGTGACCACCCGTCCCACATTTCGCTGGACAGTCCTGCAAAATGTTTCAAAGTCCTGCGTCCCGAAAACAAGCCAAAATGTCCCACAATTGCTCACGTGGAAAATTTCTATACAGTAATATCCATGAATCTAGTCTCGCAATAGTCTATTTGAGTATTAGTCTAGTCAAAATACTGAAAGACCCACCACAAATTCCTTTAGAAGGTCTTTTGGTACCAACTTGTAGATGATGACCTTTCCCTGTACATCATACTGAAAATCCACCGAAATCCACTGACGTGGTTCCTTCTTGTCACTGGTGCAGGACAGAGGGCCTTGGGCAACATATACTCATCGGATGAGGCGTAAAAGAATCCTTGGCAGTTAGAATTCGATATAAGAGTAGGCCGTAGCACCGGTCACCGGCACAAATTCCCTCATAGGACACAATATGGCGTATGACTGTCTTCATTAGCCCAGTCGGGTGTTAAACCCCATTTCAATTACGTTTAACTCAAAGAAATATATATTTTAATGTAATAAACATAAGAAATGGAAAATATTGCCCGCCATCAAGACAAAAATCAACGAATATAAATAATATATAACATTTACACCCCACCCCCTCCCTCTCTTGCACTACAACCACTATCAGCAGCGCAACCGACAACACCACGACCGTCACAATACTCAAAGAAAATAAAATTAAATGAATATAATTAATTCACATATTATATTTTAAAAAATAATCAGTAGAAAACGACAACAACTCTCGTACAAACGGTCCTAATGTAGCTGGATGCTAGTATCTGGAGAACATCTAGACTGGGATCTCAGCGATACACAAGGGGTTGCAGGATAAAGTAGAAATAAGTAGAATAGTAAAATAAGTAGAATTTTAAAAAATATTGTAAAGACCTGCACTACCAGTAGAAATATCAGTTCTCAAACAATACATCTTCTAAAATCTCCAAATGTTAACTTACAACTGGGAAAACGTGCTTTGTCCTATGCTAGACCTTTTCTATGGAATAAACTACCAAAGCCAATTATTGTCAAAACAATCGAGGGAGAGAGAGAAGAGAAAAAAAAAAAAGATAAATGGGATTTTACGCCCACTCGACACAAACTATAATTCGCTAGCACATAAGGTCTAGCTTTGGGAGGAAACCAGAGGACGAGGTTAGATGGCGACCCTATTCCTTGTCACGTACAAGCGGTGAATCGAAACCATGCCATTTGACTCAATGACAGAACTTATGATCTAAAGTGCATGTGTTAACCAATGCCCCCCCTCTTACCCAAAGAACAATAAAATTAAATAAATACTAGTATTTGTTACATGGTGAATCACATAAACCCAGAACATCAGCTGGCTATGCATTTCTATTTTATATAAAAAAAAAAACTTTTGGAAGGCGACGGATGTATCGAATTGCTTGTTCCTTTATTATGATATGTATACTTGGTTTAATGGAGTATCAATTACAATCGCTTTCGCTTCGTCGTCTCTGAATTATTAAAATTCGAATATGGTAAGATTGACCATGTCTTTGGGGTGCTTCTTCTAAGGTATTTGCCATTTTTTTTGATGAAGTGATTGATAATGGTCGTACACAACTCTTTGGATTAATTTTTTTGCAAAATAAAGTCTGATTTCTGAAATAGATATTATAGGTAAAATTAATTATATTTATGATATGTTCGTTAAAAAAGTATTAACATTAGTGTTACGTTGCTCTTATTTTTTGAAAAAAATTTCACAAGTTGTTTTCCTTTATTTTGTTAATGTAGAATGGTAATGAACTGCTCTTTTCATTTTCTTTGTTTTATTTGTTTCGTTTGAATTTGATTTATCTGTTTAGTTTTTGATTGTTTAATTTTTGTTAATGAAGCTGATTCTTTTAAACTTCGTTTTTTATTTTTGAACTCTACTTGGTGTAGGTGTTCATCAGGTAATACCTCGACTGAGTTCAATATAGAGATTAGCCGGTTGATTTGTTGGATATAAACCTTTGAATAATAGCGCCTAACAGGCAGCTGTGTTTAATTATGTTCTCCAGATTTTGATTGTTTCTGTGTGTTTGAAGTATATGTTTGTGATATGCGCTTAGAAACACTTCACGTGTAATGAAGCGCTATTATAAATCGAACAATAATAATAATAATATCTATTGACGTAAAGGTATCTTGTATTATTAATATAGCATGACATGGTGATCAATCAGGGAAAGTTAAAGATGCATTACGTAAGATTTAGATAAAAAGCTGACAGTTCTCGCAATAATAGTTTAAACAAACATTATGCAAGGGGTTAATCTATTGCAGGTCTTTCTTTGTGTCTGAAATGTTATATAAACTATTAATTAGACATTAATTAACAAAACAAGACCATAATCAACTCTCGATGACATCAGATACTCAAGATGTTAACTAGATTTGAACGGTTTGCCATTTAAAAGTTTAATTTAAAATGGGAAAGCGATGCTAAGTCTCGAATGAAATGAAATGAAATGAAATGGGGTTTAACGTCCTACTAAGTTTCGAATACCAGTGCCCTGGTTACCACAATGCACACATCTTGTCAAAACAACAAACAGTGATAACTTGGCTCAGAATAAAGTAATTTGAATGAAATTTTCAATATTTTCGTTTTACATTATCTAATTTTGAGCTATTATAGCAAGAATGGTCAGCTCTTTATCTAAATCTTACATACTGTATCTTTAAAAAAATAGATAATGAAAAGGGAATATGTTGAAAATGTCAGTCAAATTACTTTATCTGAGAGTAGTTATCGTCTTTACAGTTTAGAACAGTGTACTCTCGATTGTCATTTTTAAATTAAATCATAAATCTGTTGAAAATCAAAACCATCTAAAGTTCTAGAGAGTTGATTATGGGCCTGGTATGTAAATAAATTATTTATAAAACATTTGAGGTCAAAGGAAAGATCTGCAATAGGCAAATTTAGCTCTTAAATGAGAGAGAAACAGAGAGAGAGAGAGATAGAAAGAGAGAGAGAGAGATGGGATTTAAGGTCCACAAAAACTAGGTCATTTTGGGACTAACACATGGTTTAATTGTATTTCAATCATTCGCTTGTGCATAGGGGTCTTTAGCAGTGGGAGGAAACTGGAGGAGAAACCGACGCGGTTGGACAGGTGACCCTACTCCTTGTCACGTACAACCGGGGAATCAAAACCATGCCAGTTGACTCAATGACAGACCTTATGATACTCGCAGGTGCTAACCATTCGGCCATCCAACCCCCAGCTCTTAAATAATGTAACCAGCATAACATCCTTTATACTCAGTTATTATAAAATCTCAATAAGTTTCACAACATTCAGCATGACTAAACATGGCGATAAAATCTCAATACGTTTCACTACCTTTGGCATGATTTAATTTTAGCGATAAACGATCAATGTACATGGATGATAATTCGGCAGTCATTTGATTGTAACTTAAAAATTTCATTCAATGTCATTATATATATTTACACACACCCTTTCAAATGGTTCTGTCGCACAAATTAATAATTTATATATTTTGTTTGAAATGAAAAAAATGTATTTTTACATCTACAAAAGAAATTGTATTCGGTTTTTTTTTTAAACATGCAAGATGATGCTGGCATATGAATACAAAACACGCTGATATGAATATTATGACTTGAATTTATATTGTTGCTATGTATTATTATCCTAAATATCATATGACATACGAATACAAACCAAGCTTGTGTGAATATTTCATAGTTTGATTTTCTATTGTTGCTATGTCGAAAAGTGAAGTAACTATATATCAACATTGTTATGCATTCTGCCTCAGTTTTTTTCTAAAAAGATAATGTCCCGCAATATGATTAAGCAAAGGTGGTCACCTTAATTGGCGTGCACGTAAAAGATCCCTTGACAGATGGAATAGCACACTGTATGGCGTATGCTCATCTTCATTAGCCCAGTTCGGAGCAACATTGTTATGCATTCTGCCTCAGTTTTTTTTTTTAAAAGATAATGTCCCGCAATATGATCAAGCAAAGGTGGTCACCCTAATTGGCATGCACGTAAAAGATCCCTTGACAGTCTTCATTAGCCAAGTTCGAAGCAAAACAGTAGGATGTTAAACCCCATTTCATTTCATTTCTGTAGAGTGTTCACAAGAAATTGTGGACAGAAGGACGGGGCGACGGCAATATACGACCACATTTCCATGTGGGCGTATAAAAAAACGTTTAGATATATCACCATTTCACCATAATGAATGGTTGAATTGGAATATTTGCGCATTTCAGACCATAACTTTCTCGATTATGGCCCCTGATTGTACAAAAAATCGTTTTTGTTTTTAGTTTGTTCTATATCCAACTCTTGCAAAATGTGGGCATATCCTGCCTGGCAGCCACTGGTTTCATTTCTATGAATATGAATTAAATAATTGCTTTATGGTGACATTCATGTTAACAACAAATCCTTTTGCAATCAGTACATTGTATTTTTGTGATGACATTTATTTTAACAAAGATCTATTTTTATCAATAAAATTTGTCCATTTCATGTGTTATTTCAGCTGTGAGATGCAGTTAATAGAATTACATAATGTATATTGCTGTATTGCAGGTCTAAAATCGACTAGCTGTTGGATATTTTTAATACACGATACTGATACAGCACAGTAATTTATCTGACAAAATAATTACAATAACGATACATGTCACTCAAAGAATGGGGTTCATTTTGTGCCATTATTTCAACTTTAGATCCAAATAATACATAGTTTTAGTAGAAACTGTAAAATATGACGGCCACAAATGAATTTATTTTTCATTTATTCAGGGCGGTACCTTTTGAAGTGCGCCATATTGAATACGAAAACCTGGTGCTTGTGATCGAAGCTAGCTTCCTGCGTGTTTATAAATAGATCAGTGTTGGAATAAGGATGGTGTCGAATATATTATGATATACATACAGTGGTTTTTGAGTTAAGAAATGCAATTTAACAGCAATGATTTCGTCCGTGAGACATGGGAGGATATCAAGTCGCCGACGACGTCTGCGTTCACGTCAAAAATGGCCCAGTGTCGACATTCTGTGTCATCTCTTGAAGAGGTAAGTGAATTTTGTTTTCACGGAACTCACAGCCAGACTCCTTATTTCAGCTCGCCCATACAATGTATATAACGTTATTCAATATGTGATATCTTTTGTTTTCATTGTTTGACAATATGTCATCATGTTCAGGACAATTATTATAATGCCAGAGTTCTACACACTTTTACATTTACCTGAAAACAGTAAAACAATCCCTGACTTTACAAAACAATCCCTGACTTTACACTTAGGTAATTAGCTTCAACAGTGTCTGAATAAATCAATAATAACAACAAATAATCACGAATTAAATTAGGGCTAGCTTGTGTTTTTTTTTTAATGTTTTTTTTTTTTGGATTAGATCAGATGTACTAAAATGAAAAAGACTAGAATAAAACTTGCATGTATAATTATTGTCATTCGACATCATTTGTGGATTACATTTTGATACAAAATATGATATTGCATATGTGTGGTAAATTATTTTATGTGTTCATTGTATGGTAATTTTATTAGTTATGGTGGCATATCATGCCCAAATAAAGATTAGATATAGAGTTTTAAACCAATACAAAACATAAGGACAGTTATTGGAAAAAACATTTGGGTCCAAAAATTAATCGGTCAATTCTAACTGGAACGCTTACGGCTAGCCAACAGGCACAGATCAATTCACTTGAATTGCTATTACCTTGGTTGTGCATTATTTGTGTATAATATTATGCCCAATCAGTAGGTTTATCTTGTGTAAATGTATTTTTTTTGTGTGGTGTGGTCCTCCTTCACTTACTATTACATACATCAAACATGTACATGTCTACATGTAAGTTATGACCATATATATATAAACTTCTATTATAATTTCACACGCCTATTTTGATTTTTCTTAAAGAAATGTTGTAAAGATAATTATGCTATCTTTATGTACCACCCAGTCAATTCTTTATTTAGGTTTTATTTATGCTCTAATTACACAAAAACAATAGTATTTACATTAAGTTAGTACAAGACCCTGGGCATTAGCACTATGATAGTCTTTGCCTGTTGTAAGTAAAAAAAGTTTTTGATTTACAGTGAATTTACTCAACAATCTAAAAAAACTCATTCCATTGCGGAGATACAGACTTTCAAAAAAAAATATTTACAAGGCAGACATATTTTTAAGTGATTTTCATTGCATTTAACAAACACTTGATAAAAAAATGCACTGCATGTATGTACTTTAAGTAGGCCAGCACTGATATTTGCAGTAATTGGGTTAGTCCTAAGTAGTTTTATTTCATTAATGCGTCTTTAATGTACATTGTGGCGGATAATAATATAATACAATGGAATTGATCCCTCTCTTGTCATAAATTAGGTTATGATCCTGTTCCTATATATTTCTATTTAAATATTCAAATTATTTTATATTCCTGTTTTGTATAATTAATGATTACTACATGTACAGTACAGTAAGGAAGCAGGCTGCTAAGTGCTATGGTATTCTGTTCATCATTTATAAATGATTTATCAAGTCACATTTACATGAGGTAGGAGTTAAGGAAGAAATGTTGTCAAAAATAAATATGCCATTCTCCCTTTTAAGGAGCTGTTCCATATATATTTTATTGAGTCAAATAGCTGAATTCTGTTTGGAAGACTTTTAGAAACCATTTTCCTAGTCCTGTAGAACTAATTTACATCTGTGCCATCCGATTATCAAGAGAGTTGATTATAGGCTTGTCACGTGAATAAATGTCTAAATTATAATTTATATAAAATTTGAAGCCAAAATAAAAACCTGTAATAGAAAGATTTAGCTCTTATATACATGTAATGCATTTTTAATTTCTTATTATTGTCTGTCAAGGTTTGAACAATGATTTAAATTTTCTCTAGTTAGTTCTGCAATTAGAGTGGAGAATTTTTCCTGGACATTGGCATTTCCATCTTCAATATACATGTATGAGGAACTATTGATGAGATGTTTTGATGTATAACACATTTTAGAGAATGAAATGATTCACATCTCAAAATATTCATACAGCTGGCCTATCAACATTCTATTGTAATTTGACATTTAAAACTCCCAATTAAGTACATGTATGTATATATGCAGTGTGCTAAAAATTGTATTTTATTATTGTTTTTAAGCCATTTATAGTAACACGGTCATGACATGTACATGTATCAATAGGCCAGGGAGCCAAGATGGCTCATTGAGTATGGTGCTGGCTCACTAACCCAGAGGTGCTATATTGTAGGTTCGGTTCCAGAATTCTCAGCATGGTTTTCCCTTTTCATTGGTGCAGGATGGAGGGTATGGCAATGAACAAAAAGATGTCCACTTGTGTTCTCATTGGCTTCCACGTACTTGTACAAGAACACTTGACATTTAGAATTTGATGAGGAGTGAGAGAGAGAAATGGGGTTTAACGTCGGCTTGACACAAACTAGGTCATTTCGGGACTAACATATGGTTTAAACTTATTTCAATAATTCGCTTGCGCGTAGGGGTCTTTAGCAGTGGGAGGAAACCGGAGAACCCGGAGAAAACCCAAGGGGTTGGACAGGCGACCCTACTCCTTGTCACGTACAACCGGGGAATCGAAACCAGGCCAGTTGACTCAATGACAGACTTTATGATACAGTGCGCACACGCTAACCATTCAGCCATCCAACCCCCTTGATGAGGAGTTGGCAGAATGTTGCTATCCGGGCAAATTTTCCCCATTCATGTACATGTATGTCCATCTTCATTAGCCCAGTTGCCACAGAAATGTATGATGTTAAACCCCATTTCATTTTATTTCATTTCATCAATTGGCCATTTTAATGATGTTTTTTATATATGTTCACAAAAATGTGGGCAGGCACAGAAGTGGTTAAGATGCTGAATAAAAAATATCTCTGCATTTGGAATCCAATGGCCCTGTCAAAATTCTTATGATCACTATACTAGTAGCCTACATATACATGTATAACAATAGAAAATATATTTAATGTACCTCATGTTGTAGGTCTCAAATTGACTGAAGTACAGGTATTGTGCTGACAAAACATTCAAATTGGTCACACACTGATAATCACTCAGCGGTAACAATCAATGGCTGAAATGACATCTGTGTCAAATTAATCAGATAGTGGCTTTTCTTATGCCAGACCTTTTCTCTGGAATAAACTACCACAACAAATAAAACAATTAACAACAGTTGGTTGTTTTAGATGTCAGTTAAAACCTTCCTATTTCAAAACCAGGATCTGTAAATAATCAGTGAAGAAAGACAGCCATAAGCACCTAAGAAAGTGTACTAAGTATTAACATGCTCAAACACAAGTTCTCTGGTGGGAAATAGCATTTATTATCACTCGGCGGTTGTTTCTTACTGGAGAACTGCAATAAATATAGAATATTTATGCAGGTTAAACATCAACTGTGAATTATTGTCAACTCTCTTGTTGGGCAGGGATGAAACTAAAGTGTGATGCAACAAAAATTTATTTCATTTTTGATTCAGATTTATAGAAAAGTTGCAGACAAACACAAGGTACCCACAATTGTGGACCGGAGATTGGAAAATGTAGAAAACAGGTTTTTACTCTCTGTATTGATTATTTAAGCGTAAAATTTATCATCCATCTTCAGTCCTGGAGAAAAAAATACATTAATTTATATGTGATTCTATTTTGGACTTGTAGGGTGTACAAGGTACAAGTACTAAGATAATAATGGTAATGGTCCATTTAGATCAATATCTGTTATTGTAAGCTTGTTATGTGATCAGCTGCTGCTGTGACAAGTCTCTTTAACATCCTAAAAGTATCTGAAATGTGCACATATTAATGTGAAATGCTCAAACAATTAAAAGAGATAAAGAGTTGAATTGGGTCGATCTGATGTGTCAATAATGGAACAGGATGTATAATCATAGTATATGATTACATGTTCATTTTGAATATTTACAATATATCCGTTTGTTAATACTAGTTGTTTTCTGTCTTAAATTGTTGATCGTTGAACGCTAAATGTCAACTGATACCCACTTAAATAAAATATTTTTATAAACAGTATCGAAGTTGATTAAAGTTTAAAGCAAAACATTGTTTCCTCCCACATGTAATGTTGGCATATAAAAAGTAATTGTCTTTTTACTCTCTAAATAACCTACCCCAGGAACAACCCCCCCCCCCCCCCACCACACACACTTAAATAAAATATTTTTATGAACAGTATCGAAGTTGATTAAAGTTTAAAGCCAAACATTGTTTCCTCCCACATGTAATGTTGGCATATAAAAAGTAATTGTCTTTTTACTCTCTAAATAACCGACCCCAGGACCCCCTCCCCCCCCCCCCCCTCAATAGCATGTGATGAACATATTGTGTTAGTTCAATTAAATGTCAAACAAGATGTACCAGCAGGAATTTATGTGTCATAAGATCATAATGACATTTTGCTTTCAGTACCAAAGTACATGTATATGCACACACATGTTTGACCTGTGACCTGCAGCTTTAGGAACCAAAAGAAAAGAAAATTCCAAATTGTTGAGAAAGACATTAAAAACAGGAGGCATTCTGTTGATATGGAAAAGTCACCATAACATAGAAACACCCATTTTATACGAAAATTAAACCCACTCTTTGTCTATTATTCTAAAGATTTATATTGGCACCAAAAACAACATCTGTTTTTCAATGTTAAGGTACATGTTCATGTATATCTATATATATACATTCTTACCTACACATAATTTGCAAGAGGTCTATGGTTCACAAATTTTAAGTACATTACAAGATATTTGCATGGAAATGGAAACCACAAATTATATATAAAAGCAATATTTCTTGATACAATCCGATATTTCGAATGATTTTGAAACTAAAGTAATGTGAACTGATATCTGAATACTTCTATTGTAATATTCTATTCAGAAACACCAGGAGAAGGATCATTTTAAGGTGTTTTACTATTTGATGTTTAAAGCAGCTGATAGTTCGTTTTAGAGGTCGAGGGAACACATATTAAACATGTCTTATACACATCCCGCTTCAAACTTAGTTGAGCACTGCATATGTCCCAAAGACTCTGCTCTGGGTGATTTGGTTATTAAATGTTTGCTTAAAAGCCCACTTTATCATGAGCTTTAGATCCATCCAAAATACTTTTCCCACTACATGTATCTTAACAGTTTCATAATGAAAATGCTTCACTTGTTTATATAGATGAATCATGTACATGTATAATTGCCTAAGTAATGAAATATGTATGATGAATGAAGAAAAGGAGGGGTTAAAATAACATAATTATGTTCCCTTATCCTTATTGTGAATTACATGTGCTTTCTTGATAAAAAAAAGTATTGTTTGATGTAAAATTAATGTCAAAGAATGTTAACTTTTATTGAACATGTAATTTTAATTTAGTACTGATTTCTAAACAGTACATGACAAATTGAATCATTGTTTCAAGTTCAGGTTGTGGGAATTTAAGTAAGTTTAAGCTAAATCAGCCACTTGTACAAATTATTTGGATTATGAATTGTTTACGCAAACCTTGTAATGCTTTTATTTTCTAGACAAACATGTGATATGTGTGTTTATTTCTTACCAGGATATTTTAGTGTATTAACCCTCACTAGGAATGTATGATTATATATTATTGAGTAAGACTGTGAAGAATTTGGACAAACTGCCAATAATTTACTGTTTATTGTAACAATGGAATTAAACAACCATATGGACATAAAGAATGTCTTCTTTATAAACACTAATGCTCTAGTCCTGTTTTCTTAACAACCGTGACTAAGAAATACAAATAAATATTTTATAACTCTTGAGCGCACTGGTGCATATGTATTTGAGTAAACTGAGGCGCTATCACTTGTTCTGAGAAACCAAGCCCCCAGATCAAAGCAGCTTAAAAGAACTACAAGCAGACAGTTTGTGGAAAAGCTGCATGTGTGCATGTCTTCTGGGATTGAGTGGGGTTTCTTGTCAAAACTTCACTTTAGCCATTTTGAGGCTAAGTAGATATGTCAGATGTGGCTTTTAAAGGATAGTTAATTTGGGTTACATAGGGTGTTGAATAGATAAATAGCTTCATTTACAATGGTCTACTAGTTTACATTTCTGTACAATAACTGGACTTGGTGGGCTAAATGTGGAACTCTTCACAAAAAAGTTACTTTCAGACCCCCATGCATGTTATTCGGATGAAAACATATACATTGTATGGCAGATGATCTGATCGCATCAAAATGGATACTGTTTACACTATAAAAATTTATTTGGGCTGGGCTCAAAACAAGTCCGAGACCACCTTACATGTATATCAGGGACCTGTTTCACGAAATTTTAACTAAGATAAAATCCAAATTTTAGTAATTTGATTGGATAATAGATTGGTTTTAGTGCTTAGCCAATCAAAATTGAAGTATCTACTAAAATTTGGATTTTATCTTAAGTTAAAATTTCGTGAAACTGGGCCCTGTGGTATGGTGGTTGTTAGCGGCCATTCAAATGAATCTAAATCGTCGCCTTGTTAAGAAGGCAACAAGTCGACATGTCGACGAAATCAACCCGCCGACACGACAAAATAACCCGACTTATTCACAAGTCGATGAAATACAATTATTTCGACTTGTCGCCTCGGAAGTCAAACTCGAGCTTGCGCATTTGCTGATTGGATAACTTGCATGCGCACAGATTAACTTCCGAGGCGACAAGTCGAAATAATTGTATTTCGTCGACTTGTCGGGTTGTGAATAAGTCGAAGGCGACAAGTCGACAAAATCAACACGACGAAATGAAGGCGACGATCGGCAGGTTGATTTCGTCGACTTGTCGCCTTCTTTACAAGGCGACGATTTAGATTACATTTGAATGGTCGCTAACAGCCACCATACTGTGGTCCAGACTGGAATCATTCTCAGAGCGCAACAGTTACATTTGACCCATTTGCACTACTCAAAAGTTAATCTTTTCATTCCCGAAACTGTTGCTGACACGCTTAAAAGTGTTAATGTAAACATGGTTTATGCCTTGAATGCTATGAAGCAGAATTTTTTCCCTGACAACTCTTTATTGAATTTCAGAGAGCAAGAGAAACAAAATATGTTTTGATGTCACTTGGGTCTTTTTGGGACTTTTAGTCTCCATATTTTATTAAATCTTTTGCAGAAATCATTAAATGTGGGAGGAAACTGAATAACACCCTTTCATTTTGACAGTCACACAAACACACATCCCCATTCTTTTAATTGTCAGTCAAGGAATCACTCATTTATTGGTTGTGGAATAAAGTTTATATTCTCCTGAACTAATATCTGGATACACATCATTGACAATAAGAAATGAATAAAACTAGGATTATAATATACATGTACATGTATGAAGTGTTGTAAGGCTTATGAAAGGTCATTTTGAATAAGTAGGTCAGTGGTAATTTACAAGAAATTTTTATATTAAATATTAAAATAGTTTTATACTATCACCATACTTACATAAACTAACTTTATTCTCCATAATACCCAATGAAATTTATAGATAGGGTAAATTGCATTATGTATAAGGTTGATCGATTTAGATCCGGTAAAGTATTGAATTAACTTGATCTCATGATTAGTAGTAGGGGAAAGTCCAATAAGATTAAATTCTGTTTTGAAAGATTGAGTGGAATTATTGACTATGGCCTACAGAACATACTTCAACACAGGACTAGACATGAAATGAAATGGGGTTAACATCCTAAATTGAGGGCTAAGCTAACTAAAATGGGCATATACGCCATGCAGTGTGCTATGAGGGAAATTTTGTGTGGACAGCAGTGTTTCTTTCGCCTACTTTTCATCAAACCCAACTGTCAAGGGTTTTCTTATGTGAATGCCAAAGTGTACATGGCACCTTGGTTTGTAGTCCCATCCAAACAACCCTCTATCCTGCACCACTGGCTATGGGAACCCAATCTGCAAAATCCTGAGAAATTTTCTCAAACAACTCCTGGATCTAACTTAGTGAGCCAGCGTCTTATTCACTCAGCCACCATGGTTACCTAGTATGGACATAAGACTTTCAATAAAGAGAGACTTTCATTATACAAATCAAATCAACATGCAAAATCCAATGAAATTGACAATTTATTTTTCACAAATCAGAATTATAAGGAAAGACATCTTTTCATTGGCTAACTGAAAGTTTAATTCTTATCTGTTAAAACACAAGTTTCTTAAAGATGTTGTTAGACGTAACTGTAGTGTAAATGGCATATTGATATGAAATACAAAATATGGTGAAATTTTGATTAGATTGGTTGTAGATTTTAGTTTACCCCTACTTTTCAATCATATCTAGATATTGTCTTCATCTACAAGACATAAAATCTATAATGTAGAAACATACCAATCTCAATAAACAAATTATTTCATCAGATTTAATTATATGGGCGATTAAGTTCTTTATGAATCGCAATGTCAGTATCTCAGTACACACAGATGTTTAAAAACATTAAAAAAGCATTTGTACATGTATATGATCATGGCTATCTCTGAACGTGTAAAAAGTGTTATGTTATCAACTCTTGTCCTTGATGTTTTTATAAATATTTTTATTTTGCAGACGCTGGACTTGGATAGAAGTGGGCTAACTAAGATGAAAAAATCAGTGAAGGCTCTCTACAATTCTGGCGTCAGTAAGTTGAATAATATTTTGTATGAGTGTGCTGAAACAAACAAAAGGATGATGTTACCCTAATAAACCGAAATATCAAACCAGAGCTTAAAGTAGCTAAGTCTCTAACTCAATATCATCCAAAATCTTCAACATTGAAAACACAAATTATTTGTCAAATTAAATCAACATTCATGTTGTGATCTTACCGGAAAAAGATGGGCTTTTGATATCCAATAATTAAGACAAAATAAACATTTTACCATTGGTACACGAATCGTGTACCATAATGCGCTTCAGCCCCAGATGTATCAAGAGGGACGAGGCTAGACACATTGCACCAAATCAAACGGCGTATGTAGACTGGAATAACCAGATGCTAGAAATTTGCACTCGCTTGAGACTGCTGGCTTATTTTGCCAAACATAACTGATTTGAAATTGGAGTAAAAACGGAAACCATTGAATGAAAATCAGTTTATATACATTCATATTACAGTATTATATGCGTTGCGAACCACTTTTGTCAATTTCTAGGTCCCAAATGTTAGCGATTTAGCTCCTTTAATATAGAATCCAGTAAATGAGTCTGTGTTCAGAGAGGTTTTTCTGAAAAGAAACTGTACTAGCTAGCAGGATTGAAATGGCCCTCCTCGTTTCCACAAAAATGTTTTTAGTAAGTCTCAAAATGAACTACTGGTACATGTACCGGGTATGTAAAGACATTATTGAGAAGATGTTAAAACATCTGTAATGTCTTTACCGAAATTTCTTGTAAAATTCACCCATCACAACTCCATTTGATTTTCGTTCCCGGATACGTGTTATATGTACCAAGAACATAACAGATCATATTTAAAGCCAGTTCAGGTTAATGTAAATATTTCTCTTGTATAAGAATTAACCCAGTAATATTATTGTTTTATCACATGTTGGAGGTAAGGCGAATATTCAATTAGGAAAGCCACTTGTTCAAGCTTGACTTTGAGACAACCACAGCTTGCAGCTTTGTTTATACATTAATGCAGGAAATGGGGTTTTCAGTTTCAATAGCATGTACTATAAACTTGTCTATAAATAGCTGGTGTTTTTAAATGCATATTTGTTAACTCTTAGTCTTACAACAGACTTCATAGAATCTCTCACAAAATTCAGGATTATCAGTAAGATGTTCCTAAAATTATCTTAAACAGTGCCCAATATAAGATTATGCAAGGTGCCCCTCAAATTATATAACAGGATGGCACCTAATATTAAATTAAGTAAGGTGTCGCTCAGATTACATGTATCTTGAAGTATGTTGCCTAGTATTAGGTTAAGTAAGGTGTTCCTCATATTATCTTGAAGGATACATGTGGATGTATTACCTAGTATCATAAGGTTCAGTAAGGTGCCCCTCAGATTGTTTTGAATAATGGTGCCTTGTATTATGAGGTTACATTATAAAGTGCACCTCAGATTAGATTATCTTATAAGGATAATATTATATTATCAACCATGTGCTAAACCTCTTTTCTTGTGTCCTTTATTACTACATGTACATGTATCTTGTTATCATGCTTATTACCTTATCATAATTAGTTATGGATTGATGAAAGATTTTATTATGTAATCAGAATGGCAATTTCTATCCAATTTAAATGGTATCCTGAATGTCTAGTTATCATGGAATGTTTGATAGTGAATTATTCAATTTTAGATATTCCAAACCTCAGGTTCTGAATTCAGTGTCCATGCCATACTCTCTGTAAAACTGATATATAGAGGATATTTGTCGTTTTAGAGTGAATAACATATTTTATTTTATGATCAGTAGTGGAATACTGCGTTTTATCAGTGAAATAAACGTGTTATTCTAATGGCTAGTTGTTTTTACGTAAAATGATTGTAAAATAATAAAATAAATAGAACATTTGTCGTTTTGTCGTGAATAACATATTTTATTTCATCTCTAAGCAAGAAAACGTTTATATTTTCACTCATGCTACGCATTCGTGAAAATATAAGTTTTCTTGCTTCTCGATGAAATAAAATATGTTATTCAAGACAAAACGACAAATATCCTCTATTTATTTCATCGAGAAGCAAGAAAACTTATATTTTCACGAATGCGTAGCATGAGTGAAAATATAAACGTTTTCTTGCTAAGAGATGAAATAAAATATGTTATTCACGACAAAACGACAAATGTTCTATTTATTTTATGTTTTTACAATCATTTTAGGTAAAAACAACATGGACTACTTGCTAGCCAGTGGAATAACACTTTTATTTCACTGATAAAACGCGGTATTCCACTACTGATCATAAAATAAATTCATTTATTTAACATCTATTTAACAATCAGCAGACATTATTTGATGGAAACCCCCTTAGAGCAACCTTCCAGACTCACCAAAATTGTGTTTGGAAGCTGATATGAACTGAAAACTTCCATTGTTCAATCTACTTTTTTCTTTACCTATTTTTAAATACGTATTGATCAGAACTTAACAATCAATAAGATGAAACTTAGCTTTATGTAAACAGCCAGTCTGTATTGTAGTGATATTTTTATTTAAATTTGATCCAATTGAATGCTGTAACAAGTTAATTTAAGCTATGTTTGGAGAACTTCTCTGTGTTGCTGTGTAATTTAATACTCCCTAAAGCTTACAAAACTCACTTTACATGGCCACATGGTAAAATTAAAAACATTTGAGGAAATTTTCATTTACATGTATGTAGGCTATCATATGCCTCTATACATGTAAAATTGTTTCACAGAAGAACCCATTACACGCAAAACAAAACCAATACGACAAACCTGCGGACAAGACAAACTACACAGACATTGCAAGAAACAAACAACAAATGTCAAATCAAATGAAATTTGCGAAAATGAATGACAATTTCAGTTTATTAGGAAACCTATCTATAACTCTGACTTATTTTAATCTCAGTTACAGCCTTTCAACCTGTTATATTAATGCCCAATTCATTCTCCCGAAATGCACATTGAAATTCTTTCCTATGAAATATTAAGTAAGGGTTTAAGGATGTGTAATAAATGTACTTTACACGTAATAGGAATGCATCTGAATTCTTGGCCAGAAAAATTCTACTATTTTCCTTCGAGGGAGCTCTGCGATACATGTACCTGCACATATATAATATTTAAAAACTTTGTAGATTAATAAATGCGCTAGATGATAAATGGCACTTATATCTGTGTTAGATTTATAATTTACACAGAATTCAAAAAAATTATTTAAAACTGAATCTTTAAAACTGAAAAAAAAGGGTTAACAGTATCTGAAAAATGTACCTCAGAAGGTTGTATGAATGCCTCTATGTTTTGTGATTTCAGTTTTTATAAGTGAGAAATGTTAGTTTTGATTAATGATGGGACAAATATGGGAGCTTATTATCATAATAAAGTATACAAAATAACCCCAAAATTAACCTTTAGTTAAGTCCTAAATACACCACTGTGCATACATTTTTTGTGATCTGTACCATAATATTTTGTCATCTTAGAAATACCTTCACTTGGGCTTGATCTCATCTAATGCCCATTTAATTTAAATATTGTATTTTTAGGAGTTGTATTTCCTGACATGTTTTATTGACATTAAAGTAGCTAAGTCTCTAACTCAATATTATCCAAAGTCTTCAACATTGAAAACACGGATTATTTGTGATCTAAATCTACATTGATGTTGTGATCTTACCGGAAAAAGATGGGCTTCTGATATCCACTATTTAAGACAAATTAAACATTTTACCATTGGTACACGAATCGAGTACCATAATGCGTTTCAGCGTCATTTGTAACAAGGGACTCGAAGAACAAGGCTAGACATATTCCACAAGTCATGTCAAATGGTGACGGCATATTCTTATCTGGAGAGCATGCACAATAAATACTATCGGTGTAGACTGGAATAACCAGACGCATGAGATTGACATTTGATTGAGACTTTTGGCGTATTTTGCCAAACATACCTGATAAGAAATTGCAGTACAGTGTATAAACAGAACTGATTGAATGTAAATCAGTTTATATATAGAGAATCTCCTACCAGTCTTTTTTGATATCAAAAAATATCAACACAAGTTGATAAAGTCAGAAAAAACAAGGCTCTGCCGAGTTTTTTTTTACTTTATCAACGAGTGTTGATATTTTTTGATATCAAAAAAGACGAGTAGGAGATTTTATTTATCACCCAATCCATTGTTACATGCACAAATAGATAAATATAATTCTTTGCTGTAGATTTCACTTTTACTGAACATTACGGCGTAGTGATAACAAGTGTTAATAGAATCATTGATATTTTAGATGGCGGTGTTAAAGTCATTGCAAGAGTAGTTACAACACACTTTAAAATGGACTCTAGTTTTGTATTGAGGGGATGACACTTTAACTTTCATGCATTAGCACCAGTTAGCAACTATTTCTTTCTACTGACTGTGGGGATAGGGTTTGGTGTATAAGAAATTGGGCTAGAAAAACTCCTGATGCCCCCTCTCAATAATTTTGGAAGTTCACAAAGCTAATAGTGAACTTTTCCCTGTGAACTTTTCTACTGAAATTAAATTTTATAAATCCCTTGATTCAGACACAGGCATGTTATAAACGAAAAGTTATGAATAGTTAATAAACAAAGTGCCAGCTTAAATTCATATAAAATATCAACATTAATCCTAAATAATTACAGTTGTAATAACACAGTTGCTTCTTGTTTTTTATACGCCCACATTTTCATGTGGACGTATATTGTCGTCGCCCCTGAATTATGGCCCCTGATTGTACAAAAAATTGCAATTTTAGCTTGTGGACCCTATAGAGGTCATAATTTTTATCCGATTTAAAAAAACGTTTGAATATATCACCGTTACACTGAATTTAGTGAAATTCGGACTAAAACTGCCAGACAAAATGGTCGCCCCTCGTACGCAAATTGTGTAGAACATTTGGTATATCAAATTTGTGGACCCTCTAGAGGTCACAATTTTGATCCGATTTTGATGAAACTTG